GCCAGATGCGGAATTCGTATTCACCAGCCATCGCTGGGATTCGAACCTTTTATATCATTGGGAAGCTAGCTCTCCATCTTCTGTGTCACCAAGGCTCTCTTTCGGGTATTGAAGTTTCCAGAAACAGAAAAGTATGATCAAAATACTTTTTTTTTCAAAAGAGCGATCGACGGTGTCTTTTTTTCTTCATTCTTTCTTTTAAGTATTTAAACGGGAAAAAAATATTTTCCTCACAAGTGACAAGAGGATTTCCGCATTAGTGACATGAGGCAATTTCAGTCGTATTTATGAATTATATAGGATTTGTATCTATGACTTTTTAAAGTTTTCATTTTAATTAATTCAATTTTAAAGGTCAAAACCAAGCACTTGAGCGATTTAGTTCTAATATTTTTCGAGGAATAAAAATGTTAAAACTCACCGCTTTTTTAAAAGGTGAGTTTATTTTTTATTAATGGTGTTAATTCCATCTCCTAAATCTCCCCTTTCCATCATTTTGAGAGCCAAAAATCTAAATCCGTCGAAAAATGGAGAAGCGTTCCAAGAAAGTGTGCTTTTGTAACTGCATTCGTAGTTTTAAATATCCACTGCAATAATTAATTAGAATATATTATGTTAACTTCTCAATATTCTAATTATTTGATAGTACGTGATCGCATAAAAATGGGTATAGAATTCATATGAATACGTGAATAATTAATATTGTACTAATTAATCAAATTAATGTTAATAAAACTAACAAGGTTGTTGAATTTTCCTTTTCTTGCTAAAATTCTAATAATAATAGATCTAACGTTGTCATTTTTTTATTGTGTTTCTTATAATATTAAAAGGAATGTTTTGCTTTTCTTGCCGTGATATTAATAACTCATAACATTACAGCTATTTTTTTTCTTGCTTTGATCTTTCAATAATGCAACTAACGTTTCCTATATCTTGCTGTGATTTTTATAACAATACAACCAAAGCTTTCTTTATTTCGGCGTGATCTTTCAAGCAATACAACTAAAGTTCTCTTCTTTGTGCTACTAATAACAATGCAACTAATGTTTTTCTTTTTGCTGCCATTTTCATAACAGACTGTTATGTATTTCCTTTTTTCGTAACGATTCTTAAGATATTACAATTAAAGTTTTCTTTTTTTGCTACTAATAACAATGCAACTAATGTTTGTCTTTTTTGTTGTCATTTTTATAACAATACTGTTATTTTCCCCTTTCTTGTTCTTTTTACAACTACTTTTTTTCTTGTGATAATTCAATAAATGCTTTTTTTGTGGTGTTACTAGTAACAATGCAACTAATGTTTTTCTTTCTGTTATTTTTTTCATAACAAGACAGTTATGGATTTTCTTTTCTTGTAATGATTCTTTAAGTAATACAATTAAAGATTTCTTTTTTTTTGTACTACTAACAAAAATGCAACTAATGTTTTTCCTTTTTGCTGACATTTTTATAACAATACTATTTTTCCCCTTGCTTTTTGTGGTTCTTACAACTATTTTTTTCCCCTTTCTTGTGGTAATTCTTAGAACTATACTACTAAAGCTTTCATTTTCCTGCTGTTCTAACTACTTATAACAGTACAACTAATATTTTTAGCTTTTGCTATCATTTTTATAACAATACTTCTATGATACAGTGATATGGTATAATACAATTAAAGCTTTATTTTTCATATTGCGCTACCAATAACAATGCAATTAATGTATTTTTCTTTTTTCTGTCATTTTTATAACAATATTACTATTATTTTTTCTTTCTTGTTGTGATTTTTATGACAATACAATTACTTATTTATTTTTTCTAGTGATTCTTATAACAATGCAACTATTTTTCACATTTTCTTTGTTGTGTTACTAATAACGATGCAACTAATGTTTTTTTTTTTTTGCTTTTTTCCTGTCATTTTTATAGCCTATCGCTATTGTTTTCTCTTTTCTTGTTGTGATTCGATCTTGAAAATGAAACTGCCTTAATTATCATCAAAGAACTTTTTCAAATGGAATTCATGCAAATAATAATAATAAAACAAAAAAAAACATGAAGTGTCGCGTAAAATATTTGTTGAACTTATTCTTTAAAACTATTTATACCTTTAAAAAAACTACTAAAATACTTTAGAAAAATTTAAGGAAATAGAGTAAAAATCTCCATCTTGAATTTGCAGTCCAACACTAAACATTGTGAGAAAAATAGACATTTCAATAAAAAAAGAGACTGTTCTTTTAATAAAACCAACCGGTTTTGTTTTAATATTTCGACTCGAAGGAACACTCGAGGAAAAAATTCATTTACAGTATTAAAAACAAAAAATTTCGACTAAAAATACAACATTCCTATTTGAAGTAACCTAATTTCATTTATGACTTTGTATCTTTAGGGTAGGTTTTACTTTAGGGTAGGTTTTACTTTTTGATCTGTTAATCTGGGAATACACTCTCTACTTGCATATCAATGAAGTTAGTATTTGATCCTTCGTACACGTGTTTAACTGTTTTTGATTTCTTTCCATTTTTTCCGAATCACTGAACTAAAAAGAGAGCAGAGAGCTCATTTTCAATTCCCATTGCAATTTTTATACATTTTTTTTTTTTTTTTGCTAAACAAAAAGTTTCTGAAAGTTTTAACAAGATATTTTAAATAATTCGGTTAAGTTATGCTTCGCTACTGGGAAAACAAACAAATACTTTTCCCGATTATCTAAAAAATAGAACAGCATAATCTTATTATATCAATTTATTATATTTAATTACGTTTTAAGAAGAATGTTTTAAATTTAATTTACCTAATATAACAGCCGCCGAACCTGTTTTTTTATAAATATTGAAAAAAAATTATGAAAAATCATAGTTAATAATAAGTCATAGTAATAACTATTTAGAAAAAAAATCAATAATAATTTATGTGATTAAATCTGGTCTTGATAAAACCAAACCACCTACGGTTTTTCAAAAAATAATCCAGATAACTAAAGGGCCTTGTTTTTCCAAATTTTTCAGATATCTTTATTCCTAAATAAGCATTGCACGTAATTTATTTATTTTTAATTAGATTACAGTAAGAGAAACAAATTAAGCATAAATGTTAAACATTAGATAACTTTCTAATACTCATTAGACTATTCAACAATAGTTCTTTTTTTGTTTTACTTATTAGATAAAGTATTATTAATTATTATTTCAGGAGATATTACCTACAAATGAAAAAATTTTCGAAGTACCTAAGACTAATTATAATGTAATTTCACGTTATATTAGTATTTTAACTATTATTTATAAATACTGTTTTATAAAAAAGTATATTCTTAATAAATTTTATTTAAGTTTATAAGCTTATGATAATTACTTATAAAAAGATAATTATACTCTTCGATCTATATACCTGCTGATACACTGATATTTTAAATAACGGATATGTATTTAAGACGAAGGTATAACTTGGCACAAAATTGTGGTTTTGTCGTCGGAAGGACAGTTGGCGATTGCGGTTTTATCAGCCCACAACATTATTCGTTTAACGCAAAATTAACAACAAATTAAGATATTTTCAGCTTTGAAGACAAACGGACAATACGTTCAGAATAGCTAATGGCGTACGATGACATTTTTAGTCGTGGGTTACTACGTAATTCTTTATCCTCATTACATGCCTTATCTCTCCCAGAGCCAATGAGCTTGTCTCAGTATTTCCGGGATACTTTGCTTTATATTATATTGCTTCATATCACGATAGACAGAATTTTTTTTCAGGAAAATAAGAATAAATAATAATGAAGCACTTAGTGTACTATTTTTTCTCTTAAAGGATCGATTCTTATAAATTGGCCCTAAGTACAAATCGATTAGAGAAAAAGCTTTAATTTAATTCCATTGCTAAAGTATAAGAGCTAAATTGCATTGAGGAACTTTCGAACTTGCTATAGTGAGTTGCAATGATTCTTGGAAGCTTTCACTTTTTAATGATGTGCCTCAGGTTCGAATCCAAGTGGTAGCTGGTTGATACGAATTCTGCTCCCAGATCACATCGACCACAGTGCTGACGTAAAATATCCCCAGTCATAAGTTAGGTTAGGATCTCCTTCCCAAGGATCATAGATTAGAATCCCTTTGCCATTCGGCAAACCGTGGGAAGTTCTCGTGCTTTTTCTCTCCATGTAACGCAAATGTAGTTTGGTTCTATTTAAAAGTCCACTGAGAAGGCCAGTTTTCCCTAAAGCTTGATCCAGGAGTTCCCTTGTTTTCTAGGTTGGGCTCAAAACTGCAAGTCTACCTAGTTGAAAATTGGTTGTCATAAAAGCAGAATTGGATCTAAAGTTCAATGCCGGTTGTAAAATTATGCCAAAAAACCTGCTATAGCGATTATAAGATAAGTAAACAGGCTTATTCGTGTTCGTTAAGAGTAGTTTTAAAGAATGGTTTAAAACTTTTTGTAATGAACAGTACTTCAATCATGGTATAAAGCTGTCTTCTCTCTCTAATGCTCTCTCTCACAATTTTTTTTCCTTCAGAAACTCCACGCTGAACCTTGTTTAAAGCACAAGGAGGGTAAAGAGCGAGAAATTTTCGAACTTCTTTTCTTAATGGTTTGCCTTCAAAACAAAGATTAATTATTAATTGCAAACTGCATAAATAAAGTTTGTTATTAATTTCAGAGCGTATGTGCCACTTAAAAATTCCTTTAGTTGAAAGTATATTTTGTGTGATAAAGTTCAAAATGTTTTGTTTTCTTTAAATGCGTCAATTAAAATTAAACTGAGTTCTAAATTATAATTAAGATGTTGATACATAGCACGAAACACAAAATGGAAATACACCAAGTAAGTAAAGATATCCCAAACTTGGAACAAAATGAAATCAGTACTAAAATTCCAACGAAGTTCCACGACGTTTCAGAATTTTAATACAAATTTGTAATTTTCAAATATTTATTAATATTTGTTCGTGTCATGACTGCCCAAACTACTATCGCATTCAAAATATGTTGATTACTCCATTTTAGGTATTTTGATTCCGCAAGGAACAACAAGACGGGGAGCCAGATGCAGCACTTCAAAAGCATTTTTACAACCAGCTAAAAAGAGAAAGAACCTGGATATAGTTACTTATGCGTACGCAACCAAGGTAAGATTTGAATTCACAATATTGAATTAGGCTGAACAATTCTAGATTTCTTTTTTAATAAATACACTGAAATTAAGAAAGTAACTATGTCATGATACTCAAACAAATTGCATAAAATTTCGGATGAAATTACGTTAATTCAGTATTTTTTACCGTAAAATCTATTTTTACCGGAACATGTTACTGAACCCAAAAATCGCATATACCGTAATTTTTATAGTATTAATTACCGTAAAATCACTGAATCACTCTAATTAAATAAATACAACTGTTAAAATTATGATATAATATTTTACGGTAGAAATAGTTTTTATGGAAGATGCACCCAAAGTGCCGTTGCTTTGTACCGCACTTTGTTCCGGAATTTTTAACAGTGTTGGTAATTATATACCTGTCAAACTTAGATAATATTTTTCATTATGCCTAATTTTTTATTTTCTTCAATAATTTATGCATTATTTTGACGTTAGACTTATAATCTGAAATATGTTGAATTATAAGGAATATACTATATTGTCAAATCTCATTTTAATTTTGTCTTTCCATAGTAAAGTAAGTCACAAAAACTATACTTCGAAATTTGAGTGCAATAAACTTTTGTAATTATTTTTTTTTCAAAAATATTATTAAATGTTTTTTTTAAATAAACGATACAGAAATATTTCAGTTTTAATGAACCAAAAGTCAAGTGCTCTGCACGTTAAAACTAAGTCAAACTTGCCAGGGTTTATTGTTTTTTAAATGTTGAACATTTGCAAGTAGAATCTGACCAACAGACCAAAACCCATCATTGTACTGATGCACATTTTATGACCTTTAAAAAATTTAAGGTGTTTTTGAGTTTATTAGAAGTTGTTTTGAGATGTCAATATTGATTTAAAGTTTATTCAGATTAAAGTAAGGTTGATTAAGGTAAGGTTTACTTATTTATTATGTTGAAGTATTAAGAATGACTTCAAAAACAACCTTAAAAGATCAACCTCTCAAGGTGCAAAATCAAGGTGTATGAAGTTGTTTTTATTCACATTTGAGGTTGTTGAAAATCTACTTCATAGCCACAAGCTAAGCGAGGTTATTTCTGAGGTGTACAGGCTATTTTTTCTGCACTAGTATTTTTGAGGTGTGAATAATTTCACCCAATCTCAACTAAAAGTATTGCTGAGTTACATTTGAGGATGAGTTTATGAGGTTGAAATTGACGTTTATTAATGAGGTTATTTTTGGAGCAAAACATAACCTCATATTCTACCTCAGGTCTAGTTTTTACGTTTGTAAACCTCAAAACAACCTGAAAAAGACCTTACTTTTTTGTAAAATGATACCGTACATTTGTACATTCCGTACTATTCAACGATACCGTAAATTTGAGCATACCGTCCTACCCGATGACGGCGTACATTTGTACAATACATACCCTACTATCCAATGATATCGTAGATTTTGCAATTTTTGAAAACGTAGCCCATTGTGGGCTCCTATGATATAATGTAATTCATCCTATTTTAAAATACATTTGAGCTATGCAATTTTATGGTAACTCATATTCCTCTCTACTTGAATATTATCTTTCAATTGTATGTTGAAAAAAATAACTATATACTTTTGCTCTGTTTGAAGATGCAATAATCCCAAACATATACTGGGGATAGTTATCACATATTCAGCTCTGAGTCACGACAGCACAGTAAGTAAGGTACAGAGTTTTCATTATGAAGGGCTGGGGTTCTATCCCGGGTGGTGACATGAAACTCTACCAGCATTTCATGGATCGTTGCTAATTTTGATTGTTAACTTGGAAGTAAAGTATGCAGGTTCGCAAAAGTCAAGACATTGCTTTAATTATGCTATTAACCTTAGAATTGGAGTTGTAACTCCTTTTTCTAAAAAACTATCTGATGTAGGGGCGCTTTAATTTCCTTTTAAATATTCATCTCCACTTCATAATTTCCTATTTAAATGAAAATTTCCATGAAAGCACGTGTTTGCTTGGCTATAGTATGAATCCCAATAATGATTTTTGTCTACGATTCACAAAGAACAAAAATTATTTTAAAAATGTCAAAATTTACTATATAAAAGTTTAAACCGTTTAAAATTTTAGAACTGTTTAAATTAACTATATATGAAGTCAACTTATTTTTTATCAACTATTTTTGTATCATCTTTATATGTGAACTTAATCAACTATGTTTGAATGACACTTTAAAACATTGTTTATTATTTATGCAATATAAACGGAGAATAGTCTGTCTAAAAACACTAAGTAAAATTGGTTCATGTAACAATACAATAAATATTATTTTTTTAAAAAAGTATAGATGCAATTCTTTAACATTTATTGCCAATTCGTACATTTTTATACAAAACCGTTTCTTTTCTTTTTGTTTTAGATTCATTTTGATCATCATAAGAAAGCAAAAGCAATCGAATTCGATCGACTTAAAATGACATACATTGTTAAAGCACGTAAAGAAATCATTGTTTCGGCAGGATCCATCAACAGTCCTCAGCTGCTTATGCTTTCCGGAATCGGCCCAAAACATCACCTTCAAGAAATGGGAGTAAGTTATAGTTTTATACATATTTAAAATAATTGTGCCCATCCATTCCAGTATACATTTCTGGAATCAGTCGAATAACCGAAAGTTACTATCCTTTAAAAGATGGAAACTTCACACTAGTATGAGTTTAAAAACTTTTTTATGAAACATGGAAAAAAAATTATAAATTTTTTTTATAAAGCATTAATTACCGGGATGAAAATTTTTTTATAAGGCACGTACTATACTTATGCATCATCGGCTTCAAAATATGCAGATGGAAATAGAAGTTGGTTTCAAGCACTCGAAATGGACGCTCATCCTCAAGACTTGCTAGATGTATGCATTCAGGTCTGAATATGTCTGCACTGTTCATCTGCATATAGCTGTTTTTTTTAATCAAGTGATATCTTACTGATTCAGTTTCTTGGTATTATTTATTTAACCTTGCATACCTCTTGAAGCTTAAATAACGAATACCGTCATTTTTTTCTGCAAACCACCATTACAACTCCTGAAAACCTTACTATGCTATAACTTCTTTTGTAAAAAAATAATTTTACGGCAGTGATTTTGGTTATTAGTTAAAAATTATATTGCTTTGCATCTCTTTTAAAATAAGAAAAATAGCTTATCAAATTTGTTTAATTTTGGGAAATATCAGCCTTTGAACATAAATGTAAATTTTTATAAAAGCAATAATAAATCATTTTGAGAATATATCAGTCATTTTGCATAGGCATCTGTTTATTACACTAATGAATACTCTAATAGGTCTATTGCAATTTCTATAAATTTAAACATTTTACAATTATATTTTTATATTCTACTGTTATTAATTCACCTGACAAGGTGACGTCATGATAATTAATAACAGTTGCATCGTCATAGTATTGTGAAAGCCATAAAAATTATGTTTTTCTTTTTTTAATGATTTCCTTTTAGAAACGATTTTTCTATGTATATTTATAAAATTTATTACGGAACCAACTATAGAAAAAAAAAGAATTTAAATTAAAAGATAAAGATAAAATAAAAAGATAAAGAAGAAAAGAATACATCACAATTTGTTTAATTAAACGAATGAATTTAAACTATGGTCATTAGTATTTTAATTGTTATTGCATTCAAGCTACTTAGAAATTGAAAACCTTAAATTTCTTTGTAAATCGCTTAGAAAAAATAGATTAAGAATTAAAACAACAATCCACAAGTGTTATGAGTATAAAACCTAAACTAATCCAACCGAATAAATGTGATTAATAGACCATTTTACAAAACTTTCACTCTATAAATATCAATAAGTAATTCAGTAAGAGAAATACTCACGTTTTGTTTTGTCAACGCAACGAATCTGCGAACAGTAGATCAAAAATTTAATCTATTTTTAAGAATATTTAAATATAGGTAATTTATTGCAAATTTATGACTGCAGTTTTTCTGGCAATAAATTTGCTATAATTAAAAAAGTACGTTAATATCCAGTGCTCGCGTGTTTCTTTATTTTTTATTTTTTAATTTTTCTCCTATATAATATCTTATATACTCAGTGGTGCAAGGCTTGTTTAAATCTGTACATCGCCTCGGGTCATTAATTGAAATGCCTCGCCAAAAAATGATCTCTAAAAAAATTAAAAATAAAAATAAAAAAAACGTTTTTAAGGGAACATTAATTTTGCGTTTACTTTTGATTATAATAAAACCTTCAACCTTTCCATACTTTCAATTTGACTGATTATTTTTTTTTCCAAAAAGAAAAATAACAAACAAATTTAAATGAGGCATAAGAAAACTGATGGAACGCAATCTAATAATAATCTAATTTTTTTTCGTCCTTTAAGTATCGACCAAAATCAGTTCTTGTTGGCTTATTTGCGTGATATTTTTGCTTCTACTATAGAATAACTAAAATAGAATCTGTAAGATATTTTTTTAGTTCCTTATTAAAAATCAGGACAAATTTGAAAATATTCACCCTGAAGGAAAGAAGAAATTTTGATATTTTTCGAATCAATAATTGTTTTTCGTTGTAAATTCTTTCTCGATAAATCTCTGGAAGATGATATTTTCAATGGAATTATATGTATATTTATGCTTCGAAAGTAGCATAAGATCATGTAAAGTGAGTTGAATTAAAAAATAATTTTCAATGTTGAAATTTGAGGATGAAGTTTCGCTCCCATTAAAACGCTCTCGATTTGATTTAAATTGTTAATTATAATTTTTCTTCGGTGAAGAGCTATCTCAAAAAAAGTTATACAACTGAATTTTTATTAAATTAATAAACAAAAAAATATGCATTTAATAGTGTAATTTCAGGCTAGAAAATATTTAATAAATGTTTTTTTGTAAAATAGATTTTAGTATTTAGAAAATAAACTTCTTCTTTTTTTTTAATTTTATGACCTAATCCACGACTGCAATGTCAGAAAAAAAGAATTACAAATCAAAACATAACTTCATGGACCATTTAACAGTGAGATTTTTATGACAAATATTTATGTGGGTAATAAAAAAAGGTTAAATGAAAAACACAGCAAATTTGAAAAAAACTTTTTAAAATTTCCCTCCAGTCGTAATATGTTTGTCAGGTTTTCATTAAAAAAAAATCGTAGTATTCGAACGCCAATATGGAGGGAAATTTCTAATTAAATACTAATCGTATGGCATCATTTTGCAAATTATTTTCTTCAAAAAAATAATCATGATGGAAAATTACAGGATGTAATTTTTGAAATTAACTTCTCAAATGCTCTATTCCAAATTAAAAATATATTCTGCATCAAATTATGCTAAAAATTATCAGCACTTACAGCTGCCGGTACTTTCTACCATAAAATCCATTTTTCCGGATCATGTTACAGACAGAAAAATCTGATATACCGCAATTTTTACTGTAATAATTACCTTAAAACTACTGAATCATTCTAATTACTTTTACTGTCAAAATTACGGTATAATATTTTACGGTAACAAGGGATTTACGGTAAAATGGATTTTACGGATGATCCACTTAAATTACCAGTACTATATACTGTAAGTGAAATCCGGGATTTTTTGCAGTGCATAAGTAAAATCCGTTAGTCAACTGATATTTCAAGATAAAATTACAACTAAAAATTTGCAAGCTGATATAATGTGCAATTCGAAATTAATTTCTTTTAACATTTAAAGTCACCCATGCTTTGATCACAGAAAAATTTAAACTGAACGGATATTAAGACACAGTTACAGCTCATCATGTGCTTAGCAACTTTATTTTTATGTAGCAACATTTTGCTAAGCAAATTTCTGAAATTGATTCGGAAAGTATTAATTTGTAAAAATTACTCTTTAATTACGTTTTCACGTTTATATAAGTATTCAATAAATCCAAGTATAATTTATTATGTTTCAAAATAAATGCTGAAACAAAATAGTATAAAAATTTGAAAACATAGCTACTGCTCTAATCCAATGGTATGGTACCTTTTAACAGTATAATTTTGTAAAAAATCTGCAAGAATTATAGTGTATTACGCAATGTAAAAAATTCCTGATCAAATTATGGTTAAAAGTACTGGCGCTCTGAGTGCAGCAACCTTAAAATTCATTTTACCGCAAAATCAGTTTTTACCGTAAAATGCAAAAAAATTATTTTGCATTAATATTTATTTAATTATAGTGATTCAGTGATTTTACAATAAATAAATATTACTGTAAAATTTTTGGTTCATCATATTTTTTATTTGATCAAAATTTTACAGTAAAAAATGGGTTTTACGGTGAAAAGTACTGGCACTCTGAGTGATGTCACTATTTCCGTAATTTGATCCGGATTTTTTTTTTACAGTGTATAATCATTTGTATAATTATTATGTTACGTATCGTATTTGTATATTATGTTTACAATTTCGTATAATAATATTTATGTAATCATTACTCATTATCAAAAATTTAGTAGAACGTATTTCTGAAAATATTTCCTATCGTTTTTCTGAAGTTAGTAAAATACTTTTTTCAGCTTTTTATTAAAAAAAACTTGATATTCGACTGTTTCTGCTGAAAAAAAATCATTCAATTTTACAGAATCGGTGTTAGTTTTTTAAAATTGCGAAGTATAAAGAATATATTCTACGTTTCTCCATCTCACAAATCTAAATGAGTCAGAAAAAACTATTTAATAATCATTATTCAACCGAAGCATATAAACTATAATCAGTGCAATTCTTTTTTAATTATAGGTGATGAGAGCAATATTTTAGTACACTGTAAAAACTTTTAGAGTTTCTCAGCGACAAAAATAGTGGCAACTACTTTACACCAAAGTGATGTAGTAAAACGTCATACATTACTATTGTTTAACTACGCTAAAGATCTTTTACACTACTTGGTGTAAAGTAATTTTTATTATTCAGTAACACTAAAATTTATGATTACAGTAAGATAAGATGCACATAAGAGTCAGCAAAGTTAATTTTACAATACATTATAAAGAGCCGTGGTGGCTTAGGGGATAGAGCGCTCGCCTTCGAATAAGGTAAACCGGTTTCAAATCCCGATGATGGCTATTCGATTCGATTTCCACACCCGGCTCGCGTCGACCACAGTGCTGACGTAAAATACCCTCAGTGGTAGACGGATCATGGGTTAGAGTCCCCTTGCCGTCAGGTTAACCGCGGGAGATTTTCGTGGTTTTCCTCTTCATGTAACGCAAATGTGGGTTAGTTCTATCAAAAATCTTTCACAAAGGCGCATTTCTCCCAATATTTGGTTCAGAAGTTACCTTGTCTTCTGGATTGGGTTCAGAATTACAAGGCTACGGAGTTGAGCATTAGTAATCATGAACCCAAAAATTGGGTCGGCTGTTCAACGACGGTTATAAAATAAACTAATTGCAGCATAAAGTAGAAGTCAATTTAGAATCAATATACACACTAATTTTTAACATTAGTTTTGCACAACAAGCATGCGCATAGCACAGAGAAGAACTTAAGATGAATTCGAACTAGGCTTAATAGAGCGGAGGCGAATAGAATTTATGCAGTATAAAATCATTATAATATAATACATATTTAAAGGCAAATTTTTGTTTCTGAAGAACAACAGCGTTGAAAATAATAACCAACTCTCGCCAGTTCATTCTAAATTATATGCGATCGACTCGCAATATTTTACTTGGCGTTACTTTTTTGCGATTGCGTGCCAACATTGATGAGTAAGAGTGTGTGATTTTGGAGTAAAATTATTCTATTTATAAGTGTTTAGATTTAAATAACATCCTTCAAATCTCTTATGAACACTGGATTGGTGTTAGCCCAGAATAAAGTGTTCCTTCACACTATTTTTTGCGTTGTTTAACAACATATTTGGAGCGATATTACACCTCAGTTCTTATAGTGTAATTACCGTGAATAATTATTAAAAGTAGAGTTAATTAAAAATATACTTTTTTACAGATCAAATACCCAAAAAGCCAAATGTAGTAAAAATTTCTGGTTCCAAAACAAAACGAAATTGTAAAAAAAATATCGTAGATCTGTGTTTTTCTTAAATGTGATATATTTATATTAGTTTTGGATAAAATGCTGGCAAATGTAAACTGCATGTTTAAAAAAAAATATGTGAAATCTCTTTTAAAAACAAGCGATAATGACAGTTATAAGTTATTTATATTTGATAATTTTCTTTTAGATACCTGTTATTGCAGATCTTCCTGTTGGATATAACTTACAAGATCATATATTCCCTGGTGGAATCCATTACTTAGTTAGTGAACCAGTTGCCATTGTTCAGCCACGAGTTTTTACATTCAAAGAAATAGTTCGATATCTCTCAATCGGCCGAGGTTAGTAAATGGGAAACAAAAAGTGGTTACTGAAATTTTTTTTTCTCAATTACTAGATGCCATTTTATACAATTTTTTTTTCATTTCTTTAAGAGCATGAAAATCCTTAAAATAGTTTGTATTAAATCATTGTATGAATAAATGAACAAAACATAGCATATCATACAGTGACGTAGTTTTGATGTATGTTTAATGTATATATGATCTGCTTCTGGCACACACATATATACATATAAAAAATTTATTTTTTTCTCTAAATCTTTAAAATATAAAAAATCAAATTTTTTTTTAAAAAATACATCCTACTTACCGAAGAATAGCTCATTAATCAAATAATGTAAAATTTCAGAAACGGTTTTGTCCCCCAAAATGACTAATAAACTTTTTTGCGACTAATAACTTTAACTCGATTGTCTACTGAGATTTAAAAACCCTCAGATTTCTCCATGGTTCTGAGGTATTTCCAGTTAGCATCAACTCTAGAAAAGCAGAAGTCATTTCGAAATATCTGATTAATTGCGTTAACTTAGTACCCGAGGGCCTTCTGAAGAGATCTATGTATGTTTTGGAAGTATTTGAAATAAGCGAACTCATTCATCTGATCGGATACAGATCAGAGAGATAAGAATCATCCTCACCATCACATCTGGTGAAAATTTTATTAACTAATTTTAAAAATATCTAACATCGAAAAAAAGTTACGCATGTTTTGTTTTTGTTGTTCATTTACGTCGCACTAGAGCTGCACAATGGGCTATTGGCGACGGTCTGGGAAACATCCCTGAGGATGATCCGAAGACATGCCATCACAATTTTGATCCTCTGCGGAGGGGATGGCACCCCCGCTTCGGTAGCCCGACGACCTGCAAGTGAAGTCGAGCACTTTACGGTAGAACAGTTTAACGTGGACCAATACCGCACACCCTCGGTCCCTACGCAGACTGATCCAAGTGGTCACCCACCCGCACACTGACCTCAGCCAGTGATGCTTGACTTCGGTGATCTGCTGGGAACCGTGTTATGCATATACTGTTGAATGAAGAAAATTCCTTCTGTTTAATTCTGATTGTTTCCTTTCTCGTATGATGTAATTTGATAACAAAATTTTGTATTAAAGCTAATAAAGATTCTTTGTTTTCATGCATCACAGAGTTTACATAAAAAGAATGTATTCAACGGAAAATGACATTAGTTAATATTGAAAGAATCAATCAAAGAATTACACTTTTTTGACTTAAGTTGTTTTGCTAGTTTTCTAATTTAAAATAATTTCAACTAAAATCATTAACTGTGTTGGGGAATGTTAAATTAATCAATCGATCAATTTCGGCTGTTAAATTCATCTTGTTTTTATTCTTAGACTTAATTTTTTTTTTATTCATCTAGGACCATTAACTGTGCTGGGAGGTGTGGAAGGCTTAGCTTTCATCAATACTAAATATGCCAATAAATCGGAGGATTTCCCGGATGTAGAAATTCATTTCTTGTCAGGGTCACCTGCATCTGATGGTGGCCAAACGTTTCAGCGAGTACATGGCCAAAGAAGAGAGGTAAAGTTAAAATTTTGCATCTTACTTTCTAAAAATTCTTATACCTTTCTTTACAGCAAGATTAATTGTAGAGTCTTGTTTTTAAAAAAAATACTCGTTTTTTCGTGTTATTTGATGAGAAAAAGGTAAAAATAATTTTATTTTGAAAACTTAGGATGCATCACCTTCGAAAGAAGAGTGGTGGAGAATTTTCAGCGACGATAGAAGTTTTCATACCTATGCCTTACTTACTAAGTCTTGTTAAAATATTTTCCATTTATAAATCCTTTTGAAACACGTAGCTTTTAAATATTTTACTTCATTTATGTTTTTCTCTTTTTGTCTAGTTAGGTGTCTGTTAGTTTGTAAATGTCGAAAAGTGAACACATTTTTTGAGTGGTGATAAATTCTGCCTGCATCATTTAAAAAAAAACGAATTAAATAGACTTAATCTCGAATCTCCAGTAGAAATTTGAGAACTCATAACTATTTAGGAAAAATATCGCAACTTTGATTGACGATAAATTGTATTGGTCGAGGAAAATTGCGTCAATTCTCGACTTTTACAGATTAAACAATTGAAACTTGTATTGCTACTTAAAATAGACATTCGTTAGTCGGAGAGAGGTTTAAATTTTGATTGAGGATTGAATTTTGATTGTTAATTTCTTTGGCAATATCATCACTATAATTTCTGTCTGGAAATAAATCAAACTTCTATTTTCATCGGGAACGTAGCTTTAAATTTTGAGGGTGCTAACTAGTCCGAAAGTAGTTTACAATTGTAAAATTTAAACTATGAAAATACGATAGCGAACTCATAAAAACATAGTAATAAAAATATGCTAGTAATACTACAGTATTTTCCTGTACACTTCCACAGCAAATTTATTTTAAAAAATCTGTTGCAGCTTTGGGAGAAGGTTTACAAGCCTTATGCCTACAGAGATGCTTATACATTTTGTCCCGTTCTTCTGAGGCCAAAGAGTCGTGGATATATTAAATTGCGGACAACTGATCCCTATGATCCTCCAGTAATCGATCCTAGATACCTCACTCATCCTCAAGATGTTCTCACCATGGTGGATGGTAAGATATATAGCTTTCTATGTTACTTCCTAATACTTTCAACAATATTGACCTTTGTTATGTTAATTTGCTTTGTTAAAACTAGAGGCCCAGCACCCTGTTTGCAGCCGCATGGAGAAGAAAACCTAGGAAAATTTCCTAGGTTTTGTAAAATGGAGAGGAAAGCCAAGTAAATTTCCCACGGTTAGCCCAACGGCAAGGGGATTCTAACCCATGATTCATCTCCCACTGAAGATAATTTACGTCAGCACTGTGGTCGGTGCAAGTTGGAAGCAGAATTCGTATCAATCAGCCATCTCTGGGTTACGATCCTGGGTTACCTCATTGGGAGACGAACTCTCTATCCCCCGAGCTACCGTGGCTGATTAGCAATAATTTTTGTTTCTTAGCATAAAACAGTTTTCTACGAAAGTTAAAATTATTGACTTAAAATATATACTAAAAAGAATTCTGTTTACTTACTCCTGTGCCCTCATTCCACATCCAAATATATCTCAAAAGATTTAATTAGGATCGCTTAGTGAACATATATAATTTAGCTTACAAATCATTTTTTAAATAACATTTAAAATTGGAGGTATATTGTTACAGCAAATTTGGTGAATTAACAACCATAATTGAAAATTTTCACTTAGGCTGATTTATTAAATCTAATTAGCACATGCGTCACTTTCTGCTTGAAGCTGATAGTTAAGTTCTAAGCCATTTAACAAATCACTCTAACGAAAATTTATGATAACATATTAATGTAATTTATACCAAAAATAATAATTGTAAAATAATAAAAATATTTAGTCCAATATTTATGTAAGTTTATTCTGAAATCTGACATAATAAGGTAACATCTTAGAAATACTTTATAATAAAGAAACAATTCTTTTGGTTATAAACTCTTCATTTAGAACAAAAATCAAAATCAAAAAAATTAAAAATAGTAGAGCAGAAAAAGAAAAAATGAATATTGCAGGTAAATACCTTTAAATTAAGAATACAAAAATATTTTATCTGAAATCAATAAATTCAGGATTGCCAACTTTCAATGCTTTTTGGTAAAATTTCTTCTAGTGGAAGCTAAGTTTATATTTTAATGTATGATTCTTTGTTTTATAAATTTGATTTGAACTTAATTTTACCACCACATGTTAAGGATTCAAAAGTTCATATGGAACACATTTATGTCCCAGATCTTCTATCGTAAGACTTCTAAAATGTGGGCAAAATTACCAAAAATTATGAAAGCTTTAGTTTTTGATTGGGTGCTTGCAACTCGAGAAGAAGACAATCACTGATACACAGACACGTGACCTATAACTTCAGAGCCAGCTGATCATTTATGAGCAACATGGCGTGTTAAAGTCGAGCTACGTTTCTCTACATAAGTTAGAATGTTATTAACTTGAAGTTAATTAAATACAACGCCGTATCACACATCGGATTTGTTAAAATATAATTCTTTATCGTCTATATATTTTACTTAACTTCGATTTATTATTTGTTTACGTATTTTATTGTAATCGTGATATATTTTGTTTTGTGTACCTGGTAACATTGATGCATAGTTAGTTTGTTTATGTTCTACATGTCTTCACGCCTGTCTTTATGTTAAGTAGGAAACATATAGTGAAAGAATTGAAATATTTGTGAAAGAATATAGAATGTGTCGAGTAAGAGAATTGATACTTGACGGACTTGGCTTACTCGCAATAGAAAAGAATGAACAGTTGTTTACGTACACAAATGCCACGCTTCATCAACCAATCAGAATCGATATATTCACTGTATGTCACTTGCTGGTATCCCTAGTTTACCTCGCTATAAAATATTTTTTATAAAAGCATAGTATACTATGCTTTTATAAAAACCATATGCCAACTATAGTTGGCAGCTCTGTACCTTCATGACTAATAACAACCAGAAAAATTGAAATTACTATGTTAAAATTCAATCCTACCACGTGTTTCATCAATGCTCCGACAAAAATAAAGAACAGTGTTATATCATTACGTTCTTATGTTATATAGAGATATCTAACTTTGATGTATTATTAACAATATCTAACTTTGATATATTATTAACAATATCTAACTTTGATACATTATTAACAATATCCAACTTTGTTACATACATTCCCAGAACAATTGGTTCGAGGCTAAACTATTATGTTGTGCAAATTAGCTACTATATGATCTTAACTTGAACAGAGATTTAATTGAAATTAAAAATCAGTGTAATGCATTCAAATTTCCTATATTGTTTAAAGCAGATATTATCCAACTTTTTCAGTCACGGAATAACTTTACACTAAGAAAAAAAAGTTTGATCAAAACTACTAGAATATGGTAAGATTTACCATGTTTCTGGTCCCATGTAAACGCCGAAAAGCAGGGTAATTTTTACCGAAACGCTTTGGTAATGACTTTGGGTAGGATTAAGAAAAAATATGGTTTTATTACCATACTGTTTAGAAGTAAATGCGGTCAAATTTGATAATATCATGATACCTTATGGAAAAATAAATAAGCTCGTTTATTTTTACCAAAGTGTTATGGTAATGAATTTAGTAAAACTATCAATAAATTATGGTTTTATAGCATTGGATGAAATATGGTTAATTTCATCATGGTACCTTAGAGCAGGGTATAAAAACCATAATTCAGTTCAATTTACTTTTCAGTTTTGTATTTTTACTAAATGTGTAGTAATACAAACTATAATTTTGAATAATAAAATTTATTGTAAATCGTTACACGAAGGGAAAAATTACCAAATGAATGGTTTAAATATCATAGATTTTGGCTTTTAACAGTTTTTTTTTTTTTTTTTGACCAGAAATGACAGTTATAGTTACTAATCCAAAAAATTTTCCTACGTGAAAATTTGGAAAATCTAAGTAGGCTATTAAATTTTATCTCGCAACTTTATAATGTATTTAATAAATTGTACAATTAATTAGCATTAACTAGGTCGTTCAATCATTTAAGATTTCCGAACATTACATTTCACTGTTTATTTCAGAACTCTTTCTACATCACAGATAGCAAAAGCATACATGAAAAAAATTCAAAGCAAATATTTCAGATGAACTGAGTGCTATTTTGATTCTATTATATTTGTTAAATCTTTTTATTTGTTTTCGTTTAAAAAATAAGAGGAAATACGAGAATATTTTGCTCTAAAAAATGGGATTTCATTCGGATAACGCTTGTCTGCTGTTTCACCTGAACGGTGACGAACAATCGATATTCTATTATTTTCCTCACACATCGATAGCGCAAAAAAATCATAGCATCAAAATACTTCCCCCCCCTTTTTTTTTATTATTTTGTTTAAATTTCAAAATATATACATTTTAAAAATTTTTGTTGTTGTTTCTGATACAACTGGCCAATATCATCCAGTCTATCATCCAGCCTATTTGGTGAAGCCAAGCGAATTTAAGGCAGAGGTAGCGTTTCGTGTTTTTCGATATCACCATCTATGGCAGGGTTTCTTAACCTGTGGTTCATGGACCCCTTAGGGGTCCATGGGTCATACTTTGGGGGTCCGCCGACTACTTTTAAGACGATTGGATCAATAATATTTAAATAACATTGATCTTTTTTTTTCTAAAGGGTGAAAATACATACATATTTGAAACTAGGTGATTGAGATACCCCAAATTCAGTGCGGACCCTCTAATATCCCTGTCATATTTTTAACATTCTCCACCAACCGGCTTTCAGTTTGCACCATCAGGGGCAACCCCCTGATTACGTCCGATTTACTATTTTTATAATCCTCTATCGACCCCTAATTTTTATGAGCCGTCCCTTTGCTCTTTCTTCTTAGATATCCCAACAATCCTCCACAACATGAGGAAAAGAACATTCGCAAACCATATAAAAATTTAAAATTTTTAAAAACACAAAGTAGCTTTCAAATTTTATTTCAATTGAAAATAAAGTAAAATAAAAATAATTGATGGTTTTTGCAATAATTTTTTTACAGGGGGTGGTCTGTGACTTCCTAAAAATTTCTTAAAGGGGTCCATTATATCAAAAAGGTTAAGAAACACTGATCTATGGGCAAGAATGTGACGTCAGTCACACACACGTCACAGCTCGTTTATAGGACGGACCCTTTCATACGTCCTTTCATTCATTCACAGATCGTAATTTTGACCTGAATTAGAAAAATATTCATCTCCAATTCCATAACCCAAGAGGCATTGATCTGATATAGGAACATGGGGGATCTTGTGATCCGACAAATTTAACGTGCACCACTCATCATTTACTTCATCTTCTTGTTCTCTGAGTCTTCGATCGTCGGGGATCAAACTCACGACCTCAAGGACATGGGCCAAGGTCATATATATATATATATATATATATTTATAGTCCAGTCACATTAATGTGAACACCACCCACTCTCGACGTCAATTTGAAATAATCAATCACAGAAGGCAGGTGGCAGCACATTACTATAGAGTGTATATAAAGGATGTCCTAGGGCATCGGAAAGCATTTCAATCGTTGGCGTAATGCAGAAACATAACTATTTCTCTGACGTCCAAATGGGCATGATTATTGGCTTTCGGGCCAAGGGTGGAAGCATTTCGGAAGCGGCTAATTTTGCGAACTGTGCGCGTGCCGCCGTGGTAAAAGTATACCGTGCATGGCAAAATGGCACTATCCAAAATCATCGTCGTGGCACATGTGGTGCACCACGGGCTATAGATGATAAAGACGAACGAAGGCTACGGAGATGCGTTCGGGCGAATAGACGTGCAACTGTTGAGCAACTGGCCGCCCAGATGAACCAAAAGACTACCAAGAGTAAACCTAATTTACTGCCTTCCAGCACGTCTAGCAGCGGTCAGCTGTGCCAAAGGTGGTTATTCTGGCTTTTGACAGGTGGTCACATTAATGTGACTGGACTGTGTTTTCATATATGTATACATATGGAGAGTGAGATTATTGACGGCCAATTAAACTAACTTTACTTTACAGCAATGAAGATTTGCATGGCCTTCGGAGAATCACCAGCATTCAAGAAATTCGGAGGTCACCCCTATGAGACCACATTTCCAGGATGCGAGATCTATACAAAAAATAGCGATGAGTACCTGGCTTGTGTTGCTCGCACTTACACATCAACCATCTATCATCCTGTAGGCACCTGCAAAATGGGGGCTGCCAATGATCCAACAGCAGTGGTTGATCCACAGTTGAGGTAATAACTTATTCTGTTTGATTAACACATGCAGGTAACAGTTTTGTAATGAATATTCTTCATCCATATTTTTAAAAATCTAAGTAAAAAGAGCTGAAAAGTGATTAATAGAAACGTCTCCTATTTCCTCAGGCAATTAAATCGTTTTTAATGTTTTTCAATTCATCGTCATCACTAGTGATTCAACAGATTTCAATGACGTTTTGTTTCTTTTTCACTTAAATTTTACTTTCCAATACTATTTTGATTACAATATTTTGGTTCTATTTAGATTTCATTTTTGACAAGAGCTCTGAAAATGTATATTACAGGTGATCACTACAGAATTTCCTGCAATGAATATGTGCGGAATAGTTTAGATGGTCTTAGTGTTGGAAGATAAAAATTTAAAAATTGCGATTTCTAATAAATTTTCTATTTAAGCTATTTAAATTAATTCATTAAAGTTTGTATTTTCAACTCACTTATGAAAAACCACCGATTCGTACAATAAGTTAGGATCTATGATTTGAATCAGTATCAAAGTTAATAAACGAATTAATTTTAGCAAATTCAAATTAACACAATAAAATCCATTAACGTGAATCAACATTTAAAAATCAACGGGTTCAAATCAACGTAATATAAATCACCTGATGTATCCTACTGATTTGAATTGAGTTATTCGAATAAACTGACTTGAGTTTCTGGTTGAAATAAACTGACAAGAATCACTGATTCAAATTAATTCAAAACAACTTCCTTAACTAAATTATTCAAATAAACATACTAGAATTATTGATTTAAATAAAATTAATTATTGAGATATTCATACGAATCATTGATTTTAGTCTGTTGATTTAAATCAGCAACTAAATCAAGTTATCAATGCTACAAATAAACTTATTCGAATATTAATTCACCACAACAGATTAGAATCACTGCTTCGAATCAGCATAAAAATATTTCAACAAATTAATATCACTGATTCGAAAAAATTTATAAATTATTTGACGAATTTAAATCACCTATTAGTTAAATATATAGAGAATAAAACAATGAAACTTGTATGTTAATTATCAATTTAAATCATTGTCACAATGGTGTTTCGAATAGTTTCAGTGATTTAAATTGCCATTTTAGTGCACATCACCGTACCATGTCCAAGTACTTAGGCCTTTTTTCAGGGCTATATCTTTTAACGGCCATGGTATGAATACTACGAATTTTTGATCATGGTGAGACGACGTTGCCAGCAACTGAGCTGGCAACTTTATCTCCATACTTTCACGCACAACCAAAAGCAGGACTTTCAGCCACAGCGAATCATTGATTTTAGTCTGTTGATTTAAATCAGCAATTAAATCAACTTATCGTTGCTACAAATAAACTTATTCGAATAGTGACTCAACGCAACAGATTAGAATCACTGCTTCGAATCATCAAGAGAATATTTCAACAAATTAATATCACTGATTTGAAAAAAATTATAAATTATTTGACGAATTTAAATCCCCTATTTAGAGTTAAATATATAGAGAATAAAACAATGCAACTTGTACGTTAATTATTAATTTGAATCATTGTCACAATGGCATTTCGGATAGTTTCAGTGATTTAAATAGCCATTTCATTGCACATCATCCTACCATGGCCAAGTACTTAGCCCTTTTTTCAGGGCTATATCTTTTAACAGCCATGGTATGAATACTGCTCATTTTTTATCATTGTGAGACGACGTTGCCAGCAACGGAGCTGGCATCTTTATCTCCCTACTTTCACGCAACAACCAAAAACAGGACTTTCAGCCACAGCAGAGCTTGATATGCACATTACGAGTACTTCATATGCACGCCGGTTGTTAAATTGGCTGCCAGGTAGGTTCGAACTATTGACCTTAGCGCTCCCCCGGAGGTGCGAGCGAGGCCATAGCCTACTGCGCCACTGAAGTGCCTAATTCAGTACTCATCTTAAATGCGTTTATTTAAAAATATTAATAATATTAACAAAATTGATAATAACTATAATTTTCTTCCCTTTCAGGGTCAAGGGGGTGCATGGCTTGCGGGTCGTAGATGGTTCAATAATGCCAAATATAGTGACTGGCAATACAAATGCTCCAATAATTATGATAGCAGAAAAAGCTGCTGATATGATCAAAGGTGTAAGGACGGTAATACGACGAAAAGATAAAAAGAAAAAGAAAAAACGGTGATAGCTAGTTTTGTGTATTAGTGTTTCTCTGACATTGTGAAATATCATTAAGATTATAGTGCCGAATGTTGAATATCATAATAAGTCTTTAAATTACGCGGTTTAACCAACGGCTAATATTCTATGTCTCGAAAGTTATGAAGAAATTTTTGTTAAATTGAAAAAATTCAAGTCTGTCATGTTAATAGGATTTAAAAGATTACTTGAAAAAAAAATGTAAGTGATTTTTGTGAATCGACAATTTATGATATTTTTTAAAAAAATGTACCGTTTCAACATTGTAGAAGAACAAATATTCAAGTTTAAATAAGAACTCTATAACTATCTAAATCCATGGGAAAGAGTTATATAGAATATTTTTCTATTGCATCCTGAAATATGTAAAAGAATGAAGAAAGAATGCTGAGCTTACCCACAACTGTATTCGCAATCGATAGCTTAAGGACAATATTTTTATTTTATGCTCAGAAGTTAAATCTTTCAAATGAGTTGCAAATTGTATTGCCGGCTTATTTTTTTCTAAATATCGAAATTTCAAATAAAAAAATATGTCAAATATTGCAAGATGTGAATAAATCACATTTCGAAAGATATGATTTCCGAAAATAAATTAAAAGTAAATTAATACGTTAAACCATGATTGATGTGACAAGAAAATGTGTCCAAAACGTAAAAAGTGGTGGTTTACAGACATTCAGCCCCTGGAAAATTTGCCTTCATTACTCGTACTGTGTGAGAAGTAATAACAATTATGCTTCAAAACAGGGTATTATTATTTATTTTTTTTTAATTTTCAAATTTTTTAACTATGCTTAAAAAAAAATTTTCTCAACCTTCAGATAAAATCTATATTGAAATTTGTTTTTTTAACTTAAATAAATATCGTATCAGTATTTCATTTATTTAAGTTTTAACGCAAACAACGAAATTTGAGAGGGAATTTACATAAGATCAAACATTATTCAAAGAAATTGAATTTTTTATTTATTTTTTTATCCCGTAAAATTTCATTTTAAAAACAACGTGCAAATTCATATTAAGGTATTAAATTTAATCATTTTAATTTCAAGGTAGAGCATAGTGCCAGATAATTAAATTTAAGAAGAATTAATTTGCATAATCATATATTTTCAATTAAGCACAGCATTAAGGTGACAACGAATTTAAACAATGTTATGGTTCATCTTGGCACAACATTAAAAATGGAACAAATTTAAACAATGTTATGGTTCAATTTGGTACAGCATTAAGGTTGCAACAAATTTAAACAATGTTACGGTTCAACTTGTTCAAAATTTTCTAACATAGTAATTCAATCCATTTAATAATAATTAATTATTAAACCAAATCAAGAATTATTTAGTTATAGGAGTTTATTACTGTCTGTCTAGCTAAAGAACTCCCCTCGCTAGTTGTCTGGAACACTATGGTGTCTTTGCGAGGTTAAGCTGTTTCAAGTGGTGTCGTGAGGGGAATATTAAGGCTCCTCTCTTTAGAACACACTTTTTCTTGTTTTTATAGCATCAGACGGCCCTGTAGCGGAAAGAGTTCTTAGGTTGTTTAGACAGTACCTAACGGTTTATAACTAACCATATGAAGTCCAGGGGCAGAAAGGTCTAACGATGAGCATTTTATAGGGGAATTGTTGTGCAGTTTGTTCAGGCTCCAAACAAAATCTAAATTCTTATTTTTTATGAAGAGCTTTAAAACTTTTGCGTCCAAATATATCTAATAACTAGCAAATGTATTTTGCCACCACTTTTTAACTTTTTAGATCTATTTTCAAAGTTAGAGATGTATTTTAATGTTTCGTTTTTTCATTACAAACGAGAGAAATTTGTAGTCTTTGTTGATTTTGAGCTTTTCAAATCAAAGTCTATGACTCTCAATGTTGCCATTCCGTATTACTCTAAGAGTAGTACTTGAAATGTTTTGTAAATATATTTATTTATTTTATGTTTGTTTTTGTAAACACTGTTCAAAGTTTATAAATATTTCTATTGTTTCTGAGAGATTTTAAGTGCCTTAGCAATTTTTATTTTATCGTACCTGATACGGGTCTTTTGAGTCAGATGTGTTTTTATATATTTGATTTCTATGTACTTCTTGAGGTGACTATGTCTGCAAAAAAGTACTTTGAGGGTTGGATGTATGGGAATTCATGGTGTTTTTTAAAAAAAAATATGCACTTGTTGAAATATCATTAATGTTTACAATTCCCATCATCATCATTTCTTTTTTATAAATTTGTGTGTTACAAAATTTGATTATGAAAGATCTATCAATAAAAATTATTATACATTTAATCATAACTCATTTTCGATAAAAGTTTATTAAAGAGTGCTTCTCCTGTTATTTTGATTTGTTAAAGAAGCTTCATTTTTTTATATAAAAATGTAATTCAAAAAAAATATTTTTTGAAAAAACTAGGAAAAAAATATATTTTGTTTTTAATCATTATTCATGTTTAATTAATGTCATTAAAGAGTGTTTTTGAACTCCACAAAAATTTTATTCAGATTTTTTTTAAAGCAACTTCGAATTTCTTTTTATAAATTTATGAAGTTTCTGTAAAAAGTCAAAACATTTAAAATTAATATAATATTTTTTTCAAATTTATTTTTAGTGAAACTCATCATGAATTTAAATTAATTGTATTAATTGATTGTATTAACTGAAATTATTGTAATTGTATTACTGTAATTGCAATTATTTCAATTATGTAATCATATGATACATAATTTTAGCACCAACAATTATAAAATGCTATTTTGGTCTGCTAAAGTAAATTACACATTTTTTAAATAAATGCACGAATAAAAAATTGTTTTTGAAGTGTCTATGAAAAATATTACTGTACATTTAATCTTAATTCGTGTTATTTTATTAAAAAATAGAACTATTAATGATGTTAATTCCCTTTAATTTGTTGTGTTTCAATAAAGCAAATATTTTTTTAATAAATTTTTAATGTGTAATTACATTCTACAAAGTATTGTCAAATCGATTTATTATGTTATCACCATAATTGTTTGATTTTTATTAAAAAAGTTTAATAAAATTTGTTTTGAGTAACGTTAAATAGAAGTCTGTGTAATTTATTCTTTACATATTCAACTAATTAATCTTCCTTTACCTCTCGATCCAAAGAAATAAATCCTGAGAAAAAATTGCATAGGGGTTTAAGGTGGTTTGAATTAACATTTATTCAAATTAGCACAAACTTTTATAATTAAAATCTTGAAATTTAAAATGCTTGGAAAAAAGCTTGATAGTAAGATAAAAAATTGTATAATAATTCGGCATTGATTGAATTTACATTGTTCGACCAAGCAATAAAGCCTGGAACAAATGGACTTTAATTTCTATCAGCATATTTTTGAAGGCAATGAAACTTTTTAATCAATTTACAAAAAGACAGTTATAAAATTAATATTAATTTATTGGTTTGCAAACTGTTATATATTTTTGGGCTTAAAAAATTGCTACGTATGTTATTCTATAATAAATGAAGCCATATTCTCTGAATGGAATTTTAGCTTTTTTTTAAATTGGCACTTGTAACTCGATAGTGTTCATGAAAGTATGGCTTATGTGCGAATTTTAAAATCGTTACATGGACAGTTTAAAATTATCATGAAGAATTGATGGACATATGTTTATAAAAGTATGGCTGCATTTTTCTAATCCAAATTTTAAAGCACAAAAAGTTAAAGTAGACTTATTAGTCGAAACTAGAGAACGTTTATGAATATAGCAATGTGTTCAACGTTACTATATAAGAGCAGTTATTTAAATAATGCCCCTCGAAATTTTTGTTTTTTGAACTCAAGAAATTCCTACAAATGTCATTCTGTAAAATATTGCCATATACTTCGAAAAAAAGCTTTAATTTTTTATTTTTTAAGCATAAAGCATAAGTAGTTTAAACTGGGATGTGAATATAAATAAAATATTTGATGTAAATATTGATATAAATATAGGAAAAATAAGAAAAATTAAAAAAAGAGAACTGAAATTTAAAGGAAATGATTAAAGAGTAAATATCTTCAATTTTTGTTGATTATTTAACTACAACCCTCAAACCAAAAGTTGTTCCGCAATGAACTGATCGTGAAAGTATGGTTCCCAGTAAGACACCGAAGTGAAGCAATACTGGCTGCTGTCAGTTAATGCTGTTAATAACTGTTACTATTATTAATAAGAAAGCAAGACTACGAAGGCTGAGCAACATCATTTCAAGAGTTGACAATATTTATATACGTTCTTACTGGGAGTTTGGCATCCATTTAACGAGTTAACGATTTTTTCTTAACTTGCAAAAGAATATAATGCACATGTTACCGGCAAAGTATGAAACGCCGACATTGTATAGAATGCCTTGGCATTGTATAGAATGCCTGATGTTTTTAGGCAAAGTATGAAATGTGAGATGTATTGCATACTTTCCCTAGGCATTGTATAGAATGCCTAGTCATTCTATAGAATGCCGGATGCTATTTAGGCAAAGTATGAAATAATCGTCCTGATGAGGTTATTATGTAAATGATATGCATGTTACTGTGAATGACCGAAATCGGTGGTTGTTGACAATCACATAGTCGCTTTGGTGAATGTCCGAAATATTTATTACATCCGATTTGATATTAATTTATTCGTGGATATAATTACATTTATTCGATGTTTTAATACTTATTGACTATAGATTAGAAGAAACATCAGTGTTTGGAGTATCGGGCAAATATATATCGGGCAATGGTACTTGACCATTAAAAAAAAATATCAGTGTAGGATATACCGGCAGTGGCACTTGACCTTAAAAAACATCAGTGTAGGGTATACCGGGCAAATGTATACCGGGCAGTGGCATTTGACCCTAAAAAACATCAGTGTAGGGTATACCGGGCAAATGAATGCCGGTCTTCTAATCTATCGTCAGTACAGTAAGTATTAAAATATCGAATAAAAATAATCTATCGTCAGTATTAAAATATTGAATAAATGTAATTATATCCACGAATAAATTAATATCAAATCGGATGACGTTTTGAATTTGCCATTTTTGAATGACATTTTGAAGAATCGGAGATGTATTTTATACTTTGTCGGTTTCTCATTTGGCATTTTATAGAATGCCTAGGCAATGTATGAAGTATAAATCATTTCATACTTTGCCGGCTAATTTTAGGCATTCTATACAAGACCTAGGTATTCTATACAATGTCGGATTTCATACTCTGCCGGTAATACATACAATGAAAAAAAAGAGAGTATGATACATGGAATTATTCTGCGTACTACCCAGATGGCGTGTGCACCAATCTTGGGAGTGTTTCTCAGCTACCGTGGGTGTAAAATTTTTTGAAAACGGATGGTTATAATAACTGTAACTGCTATTAAGTTTTTGTTTTGTTACTTCATATATGACCCAATCAAATCATATGTTTTTCCTTTAAGCAAAACAAAACAAGGCAGACATTGAGATAGAATTGTAAAATTCTGACGCAGTTGTAAATTTTGACAATTTTTAACGATATTTCCTAAATCATGGCGTACATGGATCTAGGCTAAGAGTAGTTATGATATCGAAGAACTTAATTACGGGATCTTCTTGGCTGCCTGTTCGGTCAGCATTATTCTCTGACAGTACCTCGAAATGTTCTTGCCCTATTCAATATTTGTTTCACGATACCCTTAATGCGACACGACAATTCTTTCGCGGTTTATTTAAAAACAATTCCTTGTCCTCTGGTGTTTACCGTAAACAGCATCGACTCCCCGTAGAATATTTTAAAGATAATGTGCAACCATCATCTGCTACCAAGTTCAAATTTGGCTCTTACAAATCTGGCAGTATTTATCGAGTAACTTCAAGATGGTGTACCAACTCCTTGACGAATTCATGGAGAGAAGACTTATTTCGAAAGTTCTATCGAGGAGGAAGGGGGCCTATGCTCTGCTTCGTAGGATTTGCTTTGGCCAAGAAACCATCTCTATTAACTGAAGAGGAAGAGCTTGAAGGAGTGTCATTTTTAATCAGAGTTAGTTTATGTTCAATCAGTATAATTCCATTATATATTTTTTTAAATTTTTTCAGAATTGATCTGACATACATTTTTGTACCTGACAAACGGTCTTTTGTGCTAGACTTTGCATTGGTATTTGATTTTTAGTATTATAACAAAGATTATGTTAGAACTCTGTCACTATGAGCATGGAACTTGTTTTTATGTTATTATAATGTCATAATTGTGTAATAATCATAATCGGTAACCAAGGTAGGTTTTTTTGGGATATATCTGTATCTAATGTGATTTGTCATGCTAATCCCATGAGTACAAAATAGATTTTAAGGTTGCAAATTTTTAAGAAAATAGTTATTCTCCATTTTTTGACGCAGTCAATAAAGTTGCGAATTAAAAGTGGGGAGATTTCCGTAGCGTGATGTGTGGCAGAATAATCGCCAAGTCTTGGGAACTTCCGGGCAGTGGCCAGCGAGAAACTGAAAAAAAAAACATCACAGAAAGGGACCAACTCAAAAGGCATAACTCATAGCAGCCCCCTGGCAAACACCTCCATCTTTTTTTTAAAAAAAATTGCAAGGTTAAAATCTATTTGGTACCTTGGCGACTGTAGTTGATGCTACAGATCATGATACGGAAATATCCCCTTAAAAGTCACCAGTTAATGTTAATTCAACTTTTTTTTTTATTTTTTGGTATATCTATTAAAAAAGAACCAAAGAAAAAAATTGCATTTACTTATGGCAGTAAAATGGAAAAGTAATAAAAAATCTTAGAGGTTTCCGCAAGGTTACCGTGAGTTATACCCTTCCAGTTATTCATATCTGATTTTTTTTTTTTTTTAGTTTCTTGTGGGCCAGCTGCTTAGAAATTGCTATACTTGGATGTCATTCTGCAACAAATCATGATACAGAAATCTTCCCGATTATTATTCAATTTTGGGGGCTTATAAAAAATCGTCAAACTTTTATTGACACAATGATGATAAATTATTGTGTTAATAGGTACTATTAATGTTTGGGTAATGTTTCTGTGGTATTGGTTCTTTTCGTTAAGCTAGGCAATTCAACTATTTTTTTAGTTTTCTTTATAATTTTTTTCATTTCAATTTTTATGTGTTTACAAAAGTTGGCGAAGACCAAAAAGTACTTAGATACTGTACAATTATAGTCTATGTATGCAAAAAACTCTTCTTGCTTAGGTAATTATGGTTACAAGATTTAATTGTTTCAATGTATTTAAGATAAATTTTACCTTAGTCGGGAAGAAAAAATTATTCTTGGGAGAGAGAAGCTCCCATCTTTGAAATGCATTATTTCTTGTTTCTGTGGCAGCAGAGCAGTCTTAGACCTTGTGGCAGAGGGGAGTTCTTTCAATAGACAAATTAGAGGATTTTTCTACCTCCCAAAATTGATAAGTACTTAAAAAATCTTTTTTTATTTGAATTTACCAGAACATTTATGTGATTTGTTTATTCATACGAAGTAAGCAGACATGTTTTATTGCAATTAAATAAAACACGTACCGCTTAGAATAAGGCAAAATTATTTGTTTGCGTTTGTAATCATTAAAGTTGATGGCAAAATAAAATAATGAGGCATCTGTAATAATGCAGCATTTGTAACCATGTAGCATTTGTGGCTGAAAACCATAAAGCAAATTTGCAAATAGTAAATATATAAGGAGGAATCTTGCTATAATTATATCTGAAAACAAGTAAAGATTGCACATTTTTTCTAGAAGTTCATCTTAAGTCTTTCTTGGAAATACTTATATTTTATCATTTTTTACCCCAATTTTACATTATCCTGATTTGTCTGTTTTTTTAACACTACTTCGACAGAAAACATAAAGTCGGTGTTCTGCTCTATTTCATTTCATCTAAGTTGTCTGATTTTGACCCTACATTTAATGAACTTTTTCATATTCTATTGTTAATATATTATTCCTACAAACATTTATCAACAGTGAAATTAACTTTTTATTGAAAAAATATACATTATCATATCTAATATTTTTTATTTTCTTATATTTTAAAAAATATGACATTCAAGATCCTTGGATGACTTATGGTCATATTTAATTAAAATATAAATGTTTCATATTATTAAAAATATGTTGATTTATATTGTTTACTTTCCATTTGAAATGAAAAAAAATAATCATCTAAAAATTCTGTTATAAATGTAACTGCAAAGAGAATATTTATACATTCCCTCCTTGCTGCAAAACTGAAAGTGTAGAGCTAGAAATATATTTAATCTGAATAAATAAGAAATTTTTCCTGCTTCTTATTATGAATTTGTTCTAATTTTATGCAATTTTTACTTTGTCTTTTAGGAGTCATTCTCCTCACTTCCATTTCACGGACAAGGATTAAATATTGACAAAGGTAAAGTGTTGTCCAATATTACTCTAGCTGACTTAAAAATTGGAGAATTGATTGCAAAAGGCTGCAATGCTGCAATTTATAGTGCTTGTGTCTCCGATCAGATTAAAAGTAAGACATGTTTTTATATTTTTTTCTTTCTTTTTCTAAGTTCTAGTGTAAGGAAATCTTTTAACAGTTAAAATCTCATTATGTAATATTAATATTTTTATGTTTGATATACATGTATGCTTTAGAGGGATGAAGTAAAATCTATACGAGCTTAATGTCATACATGTTAAATATTGTTTGATATCCTAACTAATAGATAACAAGCTTATGGATTGCCAATGTTCTCACTTTCACTTGTTTTTCAATTTATCTAGGTTTGCAGTCATTTTACTAATTTAAATCAATTTGTTAATGTTTTAAAAATAATTGAATTCAAATAATCAAAATTACACCATTTTCTTCTTTTTTTTTGAGGATAAAAACTTTTATAATAATTTATGTTAATTTCCGTCTCTAGATTTATAAATTTATTCTAAAATTTTCTCATTCAATTTAATTGTTGCCTGAACCTAAAGTTTTGGTCTGTGTTATGCTTCAACTTTACAAGAACTGCCATATACAAGTGAACTTCTCATATTGTTAAATATTAAAATGTGATACTGTTTGTTATTTTTAAAGTGTTATTTTAATTAAAGATAGTAAAAGCTAAAAATGACTTGTTTCAATTAAGGATACAGAACTGATTTTTTAAATTTTTTTTTTTTTTTCGATTAAACAAAAATATAGATTTTGTCTTCTCAAAAAAATTCTGCATTTTCGAATTCCCGAGAAATATTAGTTTTCTTAAGCTTTTTCTGATCTCTGTGAAAAAAAATTTAAATTGCATTCACATGGTATAAAAACATACATTGTAATTTATATTCACGCAATTTAAAATTCCACATTGCAATTGGTATTCACAAAATTTAAAATCCCACCTCTCATTTCATATTCACATAATTTAAAAATCCCACATTAGAACTTGTATTCTCAGGATTTAAAAATCTAACATCTAAATGCTATTTCCACAATTTTTATAAAAAAGTATCATACTGAAATATTTTTTATTTAAACTGTGATAATATTCTATGATATGTTTTCTAAATGCACTCTTTCTTGCTCAAATTTCAAGTATTTTTCAATTATTTAAAAAGTTTTTTGCACTTGGTGTTTTTTGATTTCTATTTTCAGCTTTTTTGATTTTTTACCAAACTCATTCATGGATAGCCTTTAATCCATTTATCACTGATTTATCACAGTTTTATTATTATTATTATTTTAACTATTTTAAGCAACTTTTGTAACAATGATCAATTTGTTCAACCAAACAAAAAAAAAAATTATTTTAATGCTCCTTATTTTTATTATAACTAACAATGTATAACAAAACTTATATCTTTTAATTTATTTTTAGGTAGTTCTGAGTTGAAGGAATTGGGAAAGGATGTCTCATATTTCAATATTTCTTCTGAAAAATCCAATGGTAAGCTGTACCACTTTTGCTTAAAGGTTTTAGATTTTTTTTAAAATTCTGTATGTAAGCTTTAATTGTGAGAAGGTTAACTTTTTATTTTCTTTCCATTCCTTACATGTTACTTGTTTACAAAAATCAGAGTTGTATGTGAAATTAAATTTCAAATAACTATTCAAACTATTCAAATAACTAATAACTGTAATTCAAATAACTATTCAAATAACTAATTTTCAAAATGCTGTAAAAATGAGATTCTTTTATTATCATGAAGAATATTTGGTCTTGATCTGATTGTAGTAAGCTTCATGATAAGGTAAAAGAAATAATCATTTACTTTTGGCTTTTTTAATTTAAATTTTTGAAACTCCTTAGAAAAGTGAATATTTATTCTAAAGGAAGTCTCCTGGCAAAAATTTGCATTTTGAGAAGGCTGTAAAAATCCTTTTTTAAAGTACAGTACAGAACCCGTTATCCGGAATTCAGAAAACCAAAAAACTGTAACAAAATTTGATAAATTTTCTCCCCATTTTTTAAAAATTTTTTTTTTTTCCTCATAAGATTTTAGGATTTTTCTTTCTTTCTTGAAAGATGTTTACCTTAGCATCATTTTGGAAATATTCATTAGTGTATTACTTATTCGTTTTTTCTTCTTTTTAAGATTATTTCCAATTTTTTTTTTTTTTTAGTTTGGTTTAACAATAAAAAAAACGGCTTTTTGTAGCGATTCAGAAAACCGGAAAAATCAGTTATCGGGAATAGCGATGGTCCCGATCGTTCCAGATAATCGGTTCCCTACTGTATTTATAGTATATTAGATATCGATTAGCACAATACTTGTACCTCAAACATTTAATCAAGCAACATTGGTTTTAATAATGCATTGGCAAATTTTTACGGCTTCTTGAAATAGATAGGTGACAAAAAGTCTAACTAAACTGAGCCTTTAGAATTAATAACCTTGTGAGTTTTTTTTTAGCATATTTAATTTTAGTTTAGATTAGTCAAGATTCATTTACTTTATTTTTTTAAGTGGAAAACAAATAATGTATTCATCGTTTTAATGAAGTTTCCCATTATTATTGATATGTCAGTCAGTACCAAAAAATCTTGCTTTACTGTATTTTAAATTTTAGTTTGTTTTAACACTGTACTGTGGAAATATTATTTTGTAGACATGAAAAAAGATAATCCTGAATTGACAGAATGTGGAAAAAATATCGGTCCCTTACTTGTTTCATCCAATTATGTGCCTCGTTGTCAAGTGCAGCAAGGTAAAATTGCATTTAATATGATCATAAGTAATTTTTCAAATTAATATTTTTGAAGTTACTCAATTTTCTATTGTTATTATACAAATAGTTCAGATTTTTTTTTACTATTTTTTGTAAGCATTATAATATTTGAATTCAATTTAAGATACATAAGTATAAATGTGATAAATTGGAATATAAAATAATGTATTCATAGTTTTAATGAGGTTTAATAGCCTCAAATTTTAAAACATTCTCCCATTGATATATTAACTAGTGCCAAAAAAAAAAAATTGCTTTATGGTATTTTTAGTTTTGGCTTGTTAAAAAGATAATATGTAGAAACATTTATTTTATAGGCATGAAAAAAGATGAAGATAATCTCGAGTTAACAGAATATGGAAAAAATATTCCTCCTTTGCCTGCTTCATCCAATTATATGCCTCATTTTCAAGTGCAACAAGGTAAAACTGTTTCATATTATCATGTATAATTTTTTTTTAGAAATTGTTTGATATTTTTGAACTTATTCAGTTTTCACTTGTCCAAAAATTATTTTTTAAATTATTTTTTTTTCTAATTTTCAAAGTGATGAATGTTTTTTTAATCTAATTCAAAATGTATAAGGCAGTAAGTTTGCGTGCATTTTATTCCCTAATCATATAGCAAGCAAGTTATTCTTGTGTATGAAACAGTGCATATAGAAGAAACCTTTTTAAAAATTTTGCTCATTGGCAAAAGTATCTGAGAGTTAAAGAAAGTAAATTATTGGAAACCATTGCACTGCTTTTGAATACAGGAGCCATTGGACCAAGTTCAGAGGATTTTTTGATTGTACACACAAATTCAGATATGCCATTCTGCTCAAAAATGTTATTCATTTAGATTGTATATGTATATAATTGACTAATTTTTATGTAATATTTCACACTTACAGATATGTGAAGAATTGCTACCAGTGTTGTGCACATAAAAACTGACAAATTTTTTATCCTGCCAAATTGTTATGCATATTAAAATCCTCACTCCATTTTCAATTTACAGAGAGTCCAAATATAGAAAAAAGCTTTTGATATTTTAAAACTGAAACCCACACAATCTAGAATTAGATAAGAGAAAAAAATGACCCTTTGTTACACAGTTTTCGGATTAAAGCGGGGGATAGCCTGAACCACAGTTGTATTTTAAAAAACTGAGTATTCAGAAGCTGTGAAAACAAAAACATCAGAACCCATAATGAGTTGAATATCATTTTTATTTATTACGTTTATAAGAAAGGAGAAAATCTCACTTTGTATTTGATAGAGTCTATAGACTGCCAAGTTCTTAACTTCTGTTTCAGAAAATTCGGTACATAGGTTCTATTCCTCATAAAATTTTATTTCAAAAATGTGAAACGATAATGTGCTTATACTAACCATATTTACAGCATGGTTTTTGAAACATTATCTCAAGTAATAGTTTACATAAACTACATTTTTACCTATTATTTTAGATCAGTAAAATAATGGTTGAACAAAGATGTAAATGAAGTAATGAAATATTTCAAAAATATTTTTTTTAATCTACGTATAAAAGTTAACCAAAACCATAGAGATACAGTGGCTTTAAATAATATTAAAACTGACTGAAGTAGAACAGTGAATGATTCAATGCACAAAATATTTGGCCTCTCCTGATTTTATTTTTTCAATTTTTGTAAAATCTCACTGGCCTTATAAGTCTTGAGATGACACACATTGTCTATGTTGTTTATTTCTTTTAGGTTTATATCTGTGTTTTGTTAGCTGCAGAAATTTTTTTTTTAAATTTTCAGTTTCATTTTAGAAATTAACATGTTTGCTTTAGTAAAATTAATATTTGTTTTGCTTTTTTTATAACTTTTAATTTGAAAAATATTACTTCTTTTATGGTATTTAAAACTCTAGTTTATATTGTTTACTGTTAACATTTTCTATCTTTCATTGTTCTTCTTTTTACTTTTTTTTGAACTATTAGTTTTTATAAAACATAGAAAAGTTCTTTTATGTTTTTATACTTAGTCTAAAAAAGGAGTGAATAATTAGAAAAAAAAAATGAAGTATAAAAGTTTAAGAAAACAAGCAATAAAAATATTAATAAATGTTCTACTAAAGTTGTAAATTTAATGCTATTTATTTTACAATATATATAAACTCCAAATTTATTATTTGATTGAAAAGTGAGTTATTTGTTATTCCTTGCAGTCTTAGTGTATTTGATATATATCATAGTAAGAAATTTATTGAATTACATTTAAGGATTGACAAACTTAAAATATAAAAATATATAATTTCCAGATTGTTGGATTAATTTTTGAAATTTATTTTTGAAATTTTGATTATATTATAAAAGTTGTGCACGACATAAACATTTTGTGAATTCTATTTGCGTACCATAATGTTTGCTTCTGTTACTATTTATACTATTCTTATTTAACATGTTATGGCTTGTGCATATTTTTCGAGAACACAAACTGTAAATTTCATGGATAAAATACCTCCAAGTTGACTAGCACTTTGCTTACTTAAAATGGACTTAATCAGTTAATGATAAGAGTTGAAAAAAAAATCATGTATCTATACTTGATAAGCTTAGATAAAATATTATAGTTGACATTTAGTATTAATGTATAAGGATTGGCAAACTTAAAATATGAAAGATTTAATTATTTAATTTTGAGATTTTTGAATTGATTTTAATTTAATTTAAGGTAAGTTTTGTTAAACTTCCACTAATTTTTTGACTGTTTATATAAAAGACCGTAACATGATGACTTTATGTATTTGTCAGGAATTTTTTATCTTAATTTTTCATAGTAAATGGACTTAATCAGTTTGCAATTAAAAATGCAAACTGAGGAAAATGTTAGTCATGTACATTGTACATAATTTACTGAAATAAAATATCATAGTTGATGTTTATGAAAATAGTCTAGGTATCTCTATTGATTTAAAAAGTTAAAAGGATTTAAATTTCCAAACTGTTTACACAAGAAATGGTAAAAATAAGTTTTCTTTATGACTTTGCTGACATTTTGTTTTCTGAACTAAATTATAATTAGGACTTATTAACCAACCTACTAATTTTCTAATTAACCAGCCTACTAATTTTCTAAATTTAATTAGTAAATAATAGTTTGTGTGATTTACATTATTTATTTATTTGATTATGTTAGGTATATTTGATGAAAACATTGAAACGAAAGAAATGGGAAAGAATCCTGAAAATTCTGTTCAGAATCAGTTTTTCATGCCACATTTTGAAGGACACCAAAGTTAGAATTTTTTATTGTGTTTATTAATATTATTATTAGATTAGATTCTAAAATAAGCATAAGATATTTCTAATGGAAATTTAAAGGTAGAATTTCATTATTAAAAGACAACAGCCTTAAGTGCCATTAGCTAACAACTTAATTAACAACTAAATTTAGTTAGCCTAATTTAGCTTAGAGTCTGCCAGCTTTTCTTTCATGTTAACTAAAAATATGATGTGAACTATTTATAGCCTTTTAACACAGAGTTTTTATTAAACATGTTTTTCATTATTTTGTATCAAAATAAGTGAAAAATATTATGTTTGGAATTTTAATAATTTATGATTATGAAATGTAGCATGAAACCTAGGTGTCTTTTTCTGCACTAAGGGTAAAATATTCCAGATTCCAGTAATATTCCAAACAATAATTTTTTCAAAATTGTACTTATTTTCAGTCAATTAGATAAGAAAAGCAGTTATTCAGCCTTGAAATTTTTTTAATTTACAAAAAATTAATCAATTATTAAAAAAAATTTGAATGTAAATGAAAATATTTTTTTTCAAAACAACTTTTTTTTTTAATTTTATATTTTAGTACAATTATAATTCTGATAATCTAACAAAATTTTTTTAGTAACTATTAGACTATTTTTTATAATTAAAAATGCCAAAATATATTTTTGCTTGTTATTAAAGCTAGAAAAGAAAAAAAAATAATGAAGAGGACACTGGTGCCCATCTGCATCAAACAGTTAAAAATGACCTATCTTATGATGAAGACAACTTCCTTTAGAAGCATCTAACTTATATTTTAAAGAAACACCTAATATTCAAAAAAAAGGTAGACTTTAATTATAAATTAATATGGTATCTTAAAAAATTATAAGACCATTAGCAAATTCAAATTGGTGCATTTCTGAAGATGAAGACGTAAGAAATAACTACTTAAAAATAAATTTTTTTAAATGTACTCATTTTTTTAAAAAAATTTAAAAAAATGCCATTTATTTTTTAATTTTTATAAAAAGGTAAAAAANAAATATTTTTTATTTATTTATTTACTTTTTTTCATTTTGAATTTTTTAATCATATTTCAGCTTTTTATAATTTTTTTTGCTAATTACTGATTTTACCACATTTTTCTTTATTTTCTATTGCAAAAGAAATCCAGCAAAGACTTTTGTTTCAAAGAAGATACTCTTTTTTTAGCAGCCAATTCCCTTATTCTTTTCAAATAAATCAACTGAACTGGATCAACATCATTTTGACATTCTAGACCAGTGGTTTTCAACTGGCGGCCCGCGAAGCCTTTTTGTGGCCCACATACTAAAATATATTAGTTGTCGTGTTTTTGCGGACAATTTTTGTACAAAATCTATGTGGGTTTAAAATACTTTTCTTTCATTTATAAAAACCTAATTTCTTTGTTTCTGTGAAATTACCATACCAACGGTGCAAAAAAATTTATTTCTCAGGTTTTGCATCGAAGAAAATATTTATTCAAATCCAAAAATAATAGTGTATGTTGCTCTTTTTTATTTCGTTGTTTTTGTATTTTGTGAATATAATTTAGCATGTACGTATCAGAAATTTTCTAGAAGAAATTATCCAATTTAACTTTTTGAAACCACTTAATTTGGACGAAATTACTTACATTTGTAATTTTAAAACGCACTAAAGAGGGAATGAATATCATGTTTTATTTCCTTGAATTGAATATCGCATGAGCGGAAAAGAAAAGAAAAAAAATTTTTCATATGCTCGAGAATTTTTTTTGTTGATAATTTCTAATAAGTAGAAAAAATTTTAATTTATCACAGAATTAAATTTAAAAGAAAAAAATCTTGTCACTAAGCTTCTGATCAAGAGAAGATTCAAAATGATACGTAACAAGTATTTGTAATGCTTGTTATTTTGTTTTTGAATGTAAAAAAAACTTTGATAAAAATCTAACAGTAATAATTAATATTCCTATAAAAATTTCGATAAAGTTGTGGCCCGCCATTTGACTGGTGATTTTAATTGCGGCCCCCGGCCACATGCAAGTTGGAAACCCCTGTTCTAGACTGTCAAAATGAAGTTCGCATTCTTGGAAAATAATTTTCTGTTGAAGAGGGCTAAAGGGGTATGTAGGTTTAACTGTATAACAATACATGTATGAATGGCTACTATAAGAAAACTGCTAAAAAGGTTGCAAATTAAATATGGTCATCAAATGTAGTGGATATTATTTATTATTCCAAATTTAGAAAAACTGTCGATAAGTTAAAAAGTATTCTAAACTTGAAGAAAAAAAAAGCGAATTCGGACATAGTTCGGATAATTGGACGTTTGGATAATAAGGGTTCGGATAATCGGCGCTCCACTGTAATTAGAAAAAAATGAAATATGAAAGTGAAAAAATACAAGCAATAAAAATATTAATGAATGTACTACTAAAGTTGTAAATTTATTTTGTTTACAATATATGTAAACTACAAATCTATTATTTGATTGAAAACTGAGTTATTTGTTATTTCTTACAGTCTTAGTGTATTTGATATATATCATAGTAAAAATGTATTGAATTATGTTTAAGGATTGACAAACTTTAAATATTAAAATATATAATTTCCAGATTGTTGGATTAATTGGTGAAATTTATTGTTAAAATTTTGATTATATTATAAAAGTTAGTTTTGCACAACAAAAACATTTTGTTAATTCTATTTGCTTACCATAATGTTTGCTTCTATTACTATTTATACTATTCTTATTCAACATATTCACATGTTATGGCTCATGTATGATCAAAAAAATCATGTATGTATACTTGATAAGCTTACATAAAATATCATAGTTGACATTTAGTATTAATGTATGTAAGGATTGGCAAACTTAGAGTATAAAAAATTTAATTATTTAATTCTGAGATTATTGAATTGATTTTTAATTTAATTTAAAGTAAGTTTTGCACAACTTCTACTAATGTTTTGTCTGTTATTATAAAAGACCATAACATGGTGGCTTTATGTATTTTTCAAGATTTTTTTCGTCATAATTCTTCATAGTAAATGGACTTAATCAGGTAGTAATTCAAAATGAAAACTGAGGAAAATGTTAATCAAGTACATTGTGCCTAATTTACTGAGATAAAGTATCATAGTTGATGTTTATGAAAATAGTCTAGGTATCTCTTTTGATTTACAAACTTAAAAGTGTAAAAGGATTTAAATTTCCAATTTGTTTGCGTAAGAAATGGTAAAAATAAGAATTCTTTATGACTTGTTAGACATTTTGTTTTACGAACTAAATTATGATTAGGACTTATTAACTGATCTACTAATTTTCTAAATTTGATTAGTAAATAACAGTTTGTAAGCTATACATTGTTTAATTATTTGATTATGTTAGGTATATTTGATGAAAACATTGAAATGAAAGAAATGGGAAAAAATCCTGAAAATTCTGTTCAGAATCAGTTTTTCATGCCCCATTTTGAAGGACACCAAAGTAAGAATTTTCATTGTGTTTATTAATACTATTATTATATTAGATTTTTAAAATAAACATAAGATATTTCTAATGGAAATTTAAATGTAGAATTTCCTTATTTTTCATTATTAAAAAACAACAGCCTTAAGTGCCATTAGCTAACAACTTAATTAACAACTAATTTTAGTTAACCAAATTTAGTTTACTGTTTGCCAGCTTTTCTTTCATGTTAACTAAAAATATGATGTGAACTATTTATAGCCTTTTAACACAGAGTTTTTATTAAACATGTTTTTCATTATTTTGTATCAAAATAAGTGAAAAATATTATGTTTGGAATTTTAATAATTTATGATTATGAAATGTAGCATGAAACCTAGGTGTCTTTTTCTGCACTAAGGGTAAAATATTCCAGATTCCAGTAATATTCCAAACAATAATTTTTTCAAAATTGTACTTATTTTCAGTCAATTAGATAAGAAAAGCAGTTATTCAGTCTTGAAATTTTTTTAATTTACAAAATCAATTATAGAAAATTTTTTGAATGTAAATGAAAACATTTTTTTAAACTACTTTTTTTTTATATTTTAAAACAATTATAATTCTGATAATCTAACAAAAATTTTTTAGTAACTATTGGACTGTTTTTTACAATTAAAAATACCAAAATATATTTTTGCTTGTTATTAAAGCTAGAAAAGAAAAAAAAAATAATGAAGAGGACACTGGTGTCCCATCTGCATCAAACAGTTAAAAATGACCTATCTTATGATGAAGACAACTTCCTTTAGAAGCATCTAACTTATATTTTAAAGAAACACCTAATATTCAAAAAAAAGGTAGACTTTAATTATAAATTAATATGGTATCTTAAAAAATTATAAGACCATTAGCAAATTCAAATTGGTGCATTTCTGAAGATGAAGACGTAAGAAATAACTACTTAAAAATAAATTTTTTTAAATGTACTCATTTTTTTAAAAAAATTTAAAAAAATGCCATTTATTTTTTAATTTTTATAAAAAGGTAAAAAAATTAAAGGGTGTTAAGAAATTATGAGACCACTTATGGAAACAATCATTGTGGTTCTACTATCACATCATATTAAAAGCATTATGCGAAGCACATTTTCTTGTATAGTTTGAAAAAGCAGTGCTCAATGAGCAGGTTCAAATTTGATACTTTTAAAGTAAGTCACAAAGTTTTCTCTAATAATGAATAGTTTTCATTTGCTACTGCGCTAAAAATAGTGCATTGTATTAGACTGGCACAATACTTCGGAAACTGTACCACCATCAGCCTGATTGCATCCTTAAATACAGAGCATTTGAAGTTATCAAAAATAAATAAGCAAAATTGGAGAACTATTTTCATATTGATTCTTGTGCTTAGAACTCCTATTTTCTTTTCTTCCATTCATTCACTTTTATTAGTCATATTATTCGATTGAACTAAGATCAAGATGATGTCCTTTATCCAGTATCATGTAAAAAAAATAAAAAATTTCATAAGCAGTCATTTTCGATACTGTTGCCATAGTAATGCAACATAACAGGTGCCATTGTAGGCAAAATAGTAGCATAGTGCAACGATTGGTGGCACCGTAATATTAAACAATTCTTTTAGGTCATAATTCCCTCTCCCTAGACTAGCATAAGTTTAAAAACCTATAATACATTGTTTTAAAGATCAGTAATTAAATAAAACCTCTGACACTACCTTTATATTAATTGATTATTTTTATTTACTTTTGTATTTTTAGATCAAAATGATGGTGTCCAAAAAAATGTAACTTCTGAAATTGAAACTTTTGGCAAGTACAATATGGCTGTAAAAGTTATGTTTAATTACAGTGCAGAATCCAATGCCTATGCTATTTGGAACGCTATGTATAGAGAAACTTTACCACTGTTTGGAGAATTTTCTTTTGGGGATGCATGGGAGACTAAAGTGAGGTATGGATATTTTATTCTAGGTTAGAGGTGCACAAATTATAGCCTTGGTATCAAATGAGACCCTAAATGGTTTATATACTCATCTGTGCCTTCTAGACAATAACATAATTTGAAAATTGCTTAAGAAAATTTCATTGGATGAAAATTTTTTTAATTGAAGAAACTTTACACAACTTTAACTCATTAATATTTGAAAAAAAAAGGTNTCTGAAAGCTTTTCTACTCCCATTCAAAGAAATCTGTGAATTATTTTTTCTCAGCTAACCAACCCATCGCACATTTTTTTACAATCGCTAACAGCAATGTTTGTCAACAAATCATTACAATTGTTGCAGTAATGCTATTTTTTTTAAATTTCATTTTAACCTTTTATAACATATTTTATTTAAGAAAAAAAGTTTTTTTTAAGAACCAATTATATATTAATATTTAATTTTACTCTTTTTTCGGTTGATATATGATTTTTGATTCAAAATTTTGTACCAAAACATTAAGAAATCTTGCCAAATTGTCAAAAATAATTTTTTTCAAAATGATATGTTAAAAAAAAATAACATTGTGAATAAAATATTTTATAATATAGACACTTCTCTTGTACACATCCTAAACTTTATAAGAAAAAAAAAAAAAAAAACCTGGAAATTTTAAGATTTTTGTCTGGAAAACCTGGAAAAATCAGGGAAATTTGAAATTTGAATGGCCACCCTGATATACTCATCTCCTTCTAGACAAAAACATAATTTGAAAATTGCTTAAGAAAATTAAAAAAAAAATTATTAAATGTTGATTAAACATCTAAACTAGAACAAAGGAATCCTAATTTTATTTAAAAATTTGAAAGCATTGGATGAAAATTTTTTTAATTGAAGAAACTTTACACAACTTTAACTCATTAATATTTGAAAAAAAAAGGTGTAATTTATGCATAGTCAAAATATTAGAAAAATATATATAGATTACAGTTTAATTTTCTTAAAAAAAAATCAGGTAGAATCATTTTATATATTTTTACTTTTTACAATCTAATGTTTCATTCTTAATTTAAGTAGAATAACACCATTCAAAATTTTTTAAAAATTGGATTACTTCAATTTGTTTTCAATGGTGTGATTAAAGTACTTTTAATTTTCATGACTATTTTTTCCCTCAGAGGACCTTGCTCTCTTGAAAAGTTTATAAACCACTATTTTACATGCATCCGACTATTAATATTTTCTGACAACTTTTTATTTTATTAAAAGAGACTTAATTTGTTTTCAGTTAAGTATTTTATTGCTTAAAAAATGGAAGCAATGCTCTGTGCTAGACAGTACAGTGATATATTTTTTTAATATTTGGTTTTATATATATATTTTTTAAAAAGTGTAAAAGCATTTATAATTTTTTACCATAAAAAGGTGGCTTTTTTCCAATTTTTCTTAAAAAGTACAAGTCCTTTCTTATTTTAATCAATGATTTATTGCAAATTTCAAAATTTTTTTTGTCAGTTGTTAGATATAAGATTTTTTTAAACTATATTTTAAATGTTTTTAATTATTTTTCTCACTTCTGAAATTGCATATGTCCACTTTGAAAGCAGATGTTTTTAATTTGTATTTAAATAGAAAGCAAATAATATACTTTAAATAACAGATATTGTTTGTTTTTTACCATACTTTTTTCAGAAGATTTTGTTAATATAATTATTTTAAGAATTTATGTAAAAAGCATACGAAAAATGTTTTATTTGTTTATGTTTTAGTGTTCTATTACACTTTAAACAATATTTTCAACATCAAAAACTTGTAATTTTGATACTTTGTATTTTTATATAAAATTAATTTTATTGACTTATTGCAATGAGAAATATGTTTTTGCTTTATTTATACTTAATTTAAAACAATTATTTCTTTTACTTACTTTATTTTACATTAAATTTATAGAAAAAAGAAACTGAAGCCTCATCCTAATATTGTAAAAATGTATTCTGCGTTTGCTGACCAATTCCCTTTACTCCCTGGAGCTACGAAAAGTTTTCCCCAAGCTTTGCCCTCACGTCTTTTGAATGATGGCTGCGGAAGAAATATGACGCTTTTCCTTGTAATGAAAAGGTAAAAAAAATAATTCCTTTTTATCAATTTATTTTTAAGTGTTCAATTTAAATTATAAGTTAAAGATAGTTATTTAACTATTATCTTAACTGTTATGCTTATAATGATTTAATTCTATTGAGTGTTATTATTTGATAATCTCTTGTATAAATATATTTATTGTTCTTATTTTATTTGTTCAGTTTCTACTATGAAATTTTAATTTTTATTAAATTGCGACATTTTATAGATGAAATGTGATGTGTTTTTTCATTATTATTAGACATTAGTGAGTTTTTAAAAAAATTTGTAGTTTTATCATTTATTGACGTGACAGATCAGGGAATGCAAAAATTCCGTGCCCCAGTTTAATTTTATGTTAAAATTTAGTTTGTTAATGTTGTAAACAGAAGAATAAACTTTAATGAAATTCTTTGGTTATTTGATGTTTCAACAACTCTTGCTAATGGAAGTAAAAGTTTTTGTTTTGTAAATAGATCAGTTTATGCTCTAGCACTGATTTGTAGGTGTTGATAATGATGATTCTTAGCAGTGTTGAATAAGTATCAAATGATTTTATAAATGCTAATACTTGCAAAAAAAATTTTAATAGTAACTACAAACTATATCATTAAAGCATATTTTTTTATAGCTGCAATTTTCATACTTTCCATGACTGTGATTTTTAAGCTTTCATTAGTTTTGATTTCCTTCTTTGAATAGCTGTAATTTTAATGTTTTCTTTAACTGTTTTTATGTTTTCCATAATTGAGATCTTTATGCTAGGATTTTTTGCTTTATGTTTCAGATTCTTCGAGTTGTTATTCTTTTATATGTTGCAAAATTCAAATGTATTTTGGCAATGATGTAATCTTCGTTAAGTTTCTTTAAATAATATAAAGTTTTTTTTATCAATCTACTTTATAATGCATTATTAAAAGAACTTTATTTTGTAGCTTAATCTTATTTAATGCTTGTATAAATTATTGTTAAAAAAATGCTTTGATGAAAATTATATTTTGCTTGTAGGAACTGCTTTGTTAACACTCTGTATCTATTTATTTTAAATTTTTGTCCATCTCCATCCATTTTTGGCTCCCTTTTTTTTATTGTTGCCACTTTTGTCACATGCCAAATATGCAAAGAAATATTGAGACCCTACTAAATTCAAGATTCAATTTTATTACAATAATAGCCATTCTTTAACATTTCTAAAAATGTTTTTCAAATCTTAAATTTTCTTCTTTTTTAAAAAGGGCTCATTTATAAAAAAAATAATTTTAAAATAGCTTAAAAATAATTTAAATTTGTCATATAGCTTAAAAGAACAAAGAAAAAAAGAAGAGAAATTATTAAATTTTCTTCTTTTATTTATTTAATTATTATTATTATTTTTTGTAATGCTTTCTTAAACTATAATTTTTTAAAAGTATAAAAGAATTAAGAAAAATTTAATTGCGTTTTGTGAGATTTTGAGGGGTGAGTCTTGTGTTGGAAGTGAATTTAATCAGGATTTTGCATACATAAAGATTTTAATATTCATTTTAATTTTGTATGCAATCAAAATTTTAATTTTGTTAGTATAAATAATAAACATGACTCCTGTAATATAGTTTTTATGTATGGTTTTTCTGTTTAGAGATTAAATGTGGGCTAAATAACTTAAGATTGCAACTCAGTCATCGTTTTGTCTAAAATATGTTACAAAAATTATAATTCCTTAATATTCCAATTTTTGAACTTACAAATCTTGCTAATCATGTTATTATTGTATTCTATCATAAGTTAAATTCTTCATATATACATGATAAATGTTACTCCTATAAAATCGTTTTCATGTTAATGTTCTTTTTAAAAATTAAGTGCAGGCTATATACCTTTTAAAATTTCAAGTCAGTTATCATTTTCATTAAAATATATTACAGAAATTATGATTTTTTCAATATCCCAAATTTTCAATATTAAAATTTTTTTTCTCCTTTGAATTTGATATTGTAGTTTGATTGCAAGATAATAAAACAGCAATTTTGTTCTTAGCTATGCAAAGATAAGTGATACAAATTTGCTGATTACAGATATTAGATGTTTTTCTAACATCTTGTTTTTGTAATTGCTGTCAGAATAAAAAGTCTGGTAGTAAATATTTCTGAACTAAGATTCTGAAGAAAAGAGCAATTTTATTTCTTTGTCTACCTATATGATATCATTTTTTAGAGCTCATAGTTACTGATAAAATGATTTTTTGCATTGTTTTAATATTCTTTTCTTTCTATGTGGCCATAAAAGTACCATCCATCTTTTATGGCCATAAAAGATGGAGAAGGGAAATTGTATCAATCTGAAAAAAGTTAGAAAATTTAATTAAAATAACCTTAAAAACAGGAAAATGAATGAACAAGTCTGAGATAGCTAAAGCCAAAATATTTTTTCCAAAGTATTGGTCTTGTTATGATTTAAAAAAAAAGAAAAATGGATTTTTTTAATTCTTGTAGAAAGCGTAAGTGTAATTTTATGTGTAGGAATAAAACATAGCTTAAAAATTTATAATAAAACTTTAGCCACAAGTTGCAAATATCAGGAAAAGTAGATGAAATCTGCAAAAAGTGAGAGAATTTTTTTTCTTAGTGTGCTATGATTTTTTAAATCAATTGGTGCAGAAAGGATACAAAAACAATGAGTTAATTTTGTTTATTCTAATATCAGTAAAACATTTATTATTTGTAAAATTATGTGAATTTAGTCTTAAATATGTATAAATTATGTGCCATTCAAGAATTTAATAACTTTAGAATCCTTAGATAGCTCGTATTTTTACTCAGTTTTGTTTAGAAAATAGAAAGTAAAAATATCCTGCTGAAAAAGATTAATTTAGAAAAAAATCTGATAATAATAAAATTTCTGATTTTAATAACTTAAGTAATCTGATTTTTATTGTTGATTTTGGTTGTAACATTTCACCTTTGAGTACATAAGGAACTGTGGTATAATTTAATATGCAGAAAAGATAATTGTTCTAAAAAATATTTTTGTGTGTAGATATCATTGTTGCTTGAAAGACTATCTCCGATCTCAAAACATCAGGCCAGAGACATCTCTCCTATTGTTTACTCAGTTATTAGAAGCTCTAGTTCACCTGTTTCAAAATGGTATCACCCATAGGGATTTGAAATCTGATAATATCTTGCTTGATCTCTCTTTAGGTAAGAACTTCAGTTTATTTTTACTAGCAGAAACTAGTTTTTGCTCTGACAATGGCAGATTATAGTTATAACCGGTATAAACCAAAAACTGTCTTTCATCGTTCTAGTAATTACTAAATAACATTCGTTTAAGTAAGCTAAAAAATTTAACTATTTCCTCATTAAAGAAACTTGATATACAGCCGGACCTCTATTTAACGAAGTTGTTAAATCCCGATAATAAGTTTGTTAAATGGAAAATTCGTTAAATCGAAAATCACCTTTTGAAATACTTAAACAACACGAAACAGGTTTTAAATTTATAAACACTAGACATAATTAAAATAGCAATTGATGCACTTTTATCTTGTAAACTTGTATCTACTATTTATTTTATAAATCTTAGTCATAAAAGAAATCTGCATGGAAGGGAAGAATACAGCAAAACATTATCCAGTGTTACACTATCGTGCTACATTCATTTTCAACTAAAAAAAAGCTAAATTTATGTATATAATTATGGCTTCATTTATTTGCTGTATAAAATTATAACTGCAAAATAATTTTAAACGTACATTACCACATGAATTCTTAAGTTTTATTGCTAATGATAAAATCCCTTAATTTTGTCCGAGTTTTTCGTTTGAAATGCAAAAAAAGGGAAAGGGATTTTACTGCTTTCTCTAAAGGTTAAGGGATTTCAAAAATTAGTTGAAGGTCATTTCCTTTGTAAAATGTGTTAACAAGTTTGAAATGTTTTGGGAAATAAGGAAAGTGAATCTCAAAGAAAACTTCCTTATATAGAAAATTCACTTTGCTATTAGGAAGTTATTTTACGAAGAAATTTCCAAAATGTTCTTGGTTCCTAGAAAAAATTCGTAAGAGAGAAATTCGCAAAATGGAAGTTTGTTAAATAGAAGTCCGACTGTATTTATAATTTAAAAACTTAATGTAATTAGGTTCTTAAAATTATTTATCACGAAGAAAGTGCCAAAATTTTAATTGCCAATATTATCCCTGATTTTGTATCTTATATCATAGCTTTGTAAAACAAAGCTGCCCATTTCCTGAAATGTATTTTTCAAGTCAAGTTTTGATAATTTCCCCAGCTATTACATGATAGACCAATTTTTTTTTTAAAAAAATGGGCAGTTGATGAAAGTTTTAAAAATCTTGCTTGTTCTTTGATGGCTATGCCTTTCAATTATGTTGGACTTGAAAGAATCTTTTCCAATTTCTCATTTATGCATTATAAATTGAGGAATCTGTTAGGTTAAGAAACTACATCAAAACTTGTTTTGTTATATAGACTACTGCAAAGAGCAAACAATGTACATAATATCTGATTTAGAATGGTGATATTATTGTAAATAAATTTTTCATTTGTCAGCATTTAATTGTTTTTCCTATGTATTATCTACCGTTAGTCAGTAAATTATTTATGTAATTTTCTAAATTTCTGTCATAAATGAAGCAGAAAGAGGTTTTTACCATGCTGGTTTTAATCGGTTTTTGCCTGTGGTTTTAACCACTTATGTGTACACACACACCACACACACACACACGTTTTATGTCTTTTATCTCCACTTTATAAGAAGGTGAAAATTCTGGTATTGAATTAAATTAAAAAAAATCTTTTGTTTTCAGAGTAGCTGGTTGTTGATCCAAAGTTCCCTTCTGAATTAGACTCCTCATTTAGGGTACAATGTGTGGAAGAATTAATACATTTAACATATTTTTTACCAGGTGCTAAATTGATATTTCTGTTTAAATCTATAAAAATAGACTAATCTTCCAAACACACGAAAAAAATCAAAAGCTGAAACAAAATAAAAAGGAAAGTAAATCAGTGGGAGATAACAGCAGATAATATTAAGCACTAAAGCTGCAAACTGTTGATTTTTAAAATTTTTTTTAATTTATTTATACATTTTCTTTAAAATTATATTTTTTCCTTATTATTTTTCCTTGTTTTCTCTGTTTTTTTAACACACATACATATTATACATATATAAATATCATTTATTGAATTATATATCATTTTATTAAATTATAATTTTTTTTTTCTGTTTCTATAAAATCTTTTTTTCTGTCTTAAAACATTTTATGAATGATTTTAACCTTTGGAGTAATTAGCTCAAAATATTAATTACATGCATAAGACGGAGTTCATTTTGACCACATCAGTATCTGTAAATTATAATGTTAAGTCCAGAAACATGATCAGTGATAAATGATTGATATAATGCTAATAGTGAATATTTATTAGAAAAGGTAAGATATAATATCTACAATACATATATTTAAATTTTGCACAAAAACTAAAGTAGAAAAATATTACAAAAACAATAGAATATTACAAGAGTAAGATGAGTTATGCATTCTAACTTTCAGCTATACAGAATGCAATCAAAATTGAAAATAGCACTTGTTTATATTTAAACTTGTTATGTATGTTGCACTTTTGGGAATATTTAGTGTCAGTTTTTGATCTAATACACAGGATGCACTGATTCCTTTTGCTGGAAGTCTTTTCACCCCAGAATCAATGTAAACAAACAACAACAAAAAATTACGTAAACAAATAAAATACAGTCCGGAAATCGGAAAACCAAAAAACCGGAATGAAATTCGATACATTTTCCCCCGCCATTTTTTAAAAAAATGTTTTTTTCCTCATAAGATTTTAGGATTTTTCTTTCTTTTTTGAAAGATGTTTACCTTACCATCATTTTGGAAATAATCATTAGTGTATTCCTTCATTGTTTTTTGTTCTTTTTAAGATTATTTCCAAAAAAAAAATTTTTTTTTGTTGGGTTTAACAATAAAAAAACGGCTTTTTGTAGCGATTCAGAAAACCGGAAAAATCAGTTATCCGGAATAGTGATGGTCCTGATCCTTCCGGATAATCGGTTCCCTACTGTAGTATATATTTATAAACTTTTATATCAGAATTCTTGAAAATAATTTTAATGCATTTTTTTAACACTAAAAATAACCACACTTCTGAGATTTAAAAACTTAAGAACTTATAACTTTTTTTCTGTTTTGTTTACCCCTCATAGATAATATTATTGATATGAAATAAATGTAAAATTTTTTTGTAGGAATTGCATCCCCCAGGTTGGCAATTGCAGATTTCGGTTGTTGCTTGGAAAATCTCTCTTTGCCTTATACATCCTATGACATCAACAAGGGTGGGAATATATCCCTAATGGCTCCTGAAGTAAGAATACATTTTTGAATGGTTAAAATTTCTAGTTCATGTAGAATTCCACATCTTGATAAGTGAAGGTTTAAATTGTAAAGAATTTAAAAATGTACTTATCTTTATTAGGCCTGCTTAATTCTGCTGTTTTATTATTTTAGCTAATGCTGTTAAACATTAGGGCAACAGTTCCACAATTTTGTGATCTGTATTGTGGTGGCTGCTTTACTTTTCCTAGCTGCCACCGGAACACCCTTAACCACTGAGCTCTCTGTAGATGCGTTAAATTAATAGATAATAGAACAGAACTCTGTAGACATGTGAAATTAATTTTAAATTTAATTCATTAGGTATTATTTTTTATACTTTGTATAAACTCTTTAGTTTCATATATTTTTTAATAACCATATTTAATTTTTTTTTAATCCCTAGGTTGTAAAATGCGAACCTGGACCATTTTCAGTTATCGATTACTCAAGAGCTGACTTGTGGGCTGCTGGAACTATAGCTTATGAAATTTTTGGTGGTAACAATCCATTCTATTCTCATTCAAGTGTGAAAAACAGTACTTATAAAGAAGAAGATTTGCCACCTTTTCCAAAAAATGCTCCTCCTGCTGTTAAAAGTTTAGTCGTGAAAATGCTTTCGGTCAATCCTTCTCAGGTAGTCTTAATCAATTATTTTTAAATTCAGATTAAAATTATAAAGTTTTATCGTGAAATAATAAGAAATTATCCTCTCCATTTTATGTGTATTGAATGTTTTGTTTGTGAAGAATAATTAAATCCCATGGTTTATAACAATAGCTTCCTAGATGAACAGGTTTTTCAATTCGAATTTTTTTACTTATTATTTATTTAACTGAATGTAAATGTTTTCTTTATAAACCAATATAAATGTTTTGAAAATGAGGACAAGTAATGTGTATCAAGTTGGTTGTAAAACAGGAAAAAATCAAGGTAGATTGGTCATTTATAAAAAATTAGTAGGAAATGAAAATTTTGAAATTACAAATTTTATGAAAACTTATTTCTTTGAAACTATTCAATCAATTTTACTCAAATGTTTTTTTTTTGCCTTTCATAAATGAACAATGTTAAAATTTTTATGCCGTATGATTCAAACATTTTTGGATGACTATTAAAGTATAAGAAAAATAGTTATTAAATAGCATTTTTTGCTTGAATTATCTTTAGCAAAACGATTGTCAGTGAGCTTTTTATTCTAAACAGCTCAAAGTGAATGGACATAGGTCAAATTGTTTGTTTAAGAAAATGAACACAGTTCAAAATATGTGTTTTATGAAAATGGACACAGCTCAAAATATGTGTTTTATGAAAATGGACACAGCTCAAAAGTAATGTTGAAGAAAGTGAGCATAGCTCAAATTGCGTATTTAAGAAAATAAAGACAGCTCAAAATGTCTGTTTAAAGTAATGGACACAATCCAAAAGGTGTGTTAGAAAATAAGCAGAACTCAAAATGTATGTTTAAGAAAATAAATTTCAAAAATTCTTTAAAAAAAAGTACAATTTTGAGAGAAGAACTTTTAAAAAATGAAATTGAATACTGTGTATATTTTCTTAAATACACATTTTGAGCTATGTCCAGTATAAGAAGCTTATGGAGGCAATTTTTTTAAATGTGTGCAAAAGATTTTTCATTTTTTGAGGCAATATATGAAAAGTAAAGGGTTCAAATTTTCGACCAATTTTCTCATTAAAGTGTTTGCCTCATATTTTCTATATAGTGGATACCCCAAATAATTTGAGTATTACGAATTCAAATCTGTAAAAAAAGTTTTATTAAGGAGAAGTATGTCTCTATATCTGATTTCATTATATATATATTCTTTATTTAAAGTTAATCACTAAAACCATCAAGATTGCATATTAGGTGAAAATCTGATCATTAATTCAAAAGTTATTCATGTGTATCTTTCTTTTTCTTCTTTTTTTTTAACTTTATGATCTGAGATACAAGGGATAGACAAAATAATTGGAACATTTCAATACTAATTCTTTTTTCATATTTCTCAAGAAATATGTAAAATCAATTTATACTTTCTGAAATGCTTAGATCATGTGGTTTTTCATACATATCAATGAAGTTTAAAACTTTTTTTAGGTTTGAGGGACCAACAATAAGTTACAAACTGAAAATATTGTTTTTGGACACCCTATGCCAAAATATGTAGCAATAAATTTGTATCTAGTAACAATTATTTTGGTTATTATATCTAATAATTGCACAAAATTTTGTAAGCTTAGCTTAAATAATTATGGAAATGTAAACATTTTTATAAAAAAACTAAATGTTTGTCTTATGTTTTCTAGCTAAAACTTAAAAAATATTCAATAAAATTAAACGAAATTTTTAGAGCAATTTAAAATAATTGGCAGAATTTTTTTAAAAAAATCTTTGAAAACTCTGCAATATATAAGTAATTAAAGTGATCTTTTATAGTGATTCACAGAAAAAATGTGTCATTTTTTTGTAATTTTGTAGTGAATTGCATTTGGCAAATGAATGAAAAAAATCCTATTTGAATATCTTAATTTAAAAAGTATCAAGCAATTTTCTAAGTAGTTTTTGTACTTTTTAAACAGAACTCAAAATGATAAGGAGTTTTCTACAAATATTATTTTGCATCATAAGATAAAATTAAATAACAAATCATGATACTATACAATGAACATTCATTCTCTGAAATATAATTTATATAAGATAAGAAAATATGCACAAGAAAATAAACTTTTTATGGGGGATGATTCCCAAAAATGCCAGCGTCATTTTTAGTAAATGTAATAAATTTTTTGAAAAATCCTTATCATTTTGAGCATTATATTAATAGGTACGAAAATTACTTAGAAAATTGCTCGAAACTTTTTATATTTTTGGGATACATAAATTGGACTTTTTTATTAGCCAAATACGATTCAGTACAAAATTACGAAGAAAAATTTAATACCCACCCCCCGCATGCACAGTATAAAAGAAATACTTTAATTACTCATTTCTTTTGCAGTTTTAAACAAATTTTTCTCAAACTTTAAAACAATTGCAACGTTTAAGTAATCCAAAAAGTTTGCTTAATTTTATTGAATATTTAGCAAAAAAAAAAAACTTTAAAAATGGCCATTATGCATAAATATTTAAGTTAGATTTACGAAATTTTGTGCACTTGTTGCTTATAATAACCAAAATAATTTTTACAAATTTATTGCTACATTTTTTAGCATAAAGTAATAAAAAATATCATCTTCCGTTTGTAATTTATTGTCGGTCCCTCAAACCTCTAAAATTTTTAAGCTTCATTGATAAGTATGAAAAATCGCATAAACTAAACGCTTCTAAATTTATAAATTATTCTCAAAAGTGTTTTTTGAGAAAGATCGAAAAATGCGTTTATGGGGAAGTGTTTCCATTATTTTGTTCTACCACTTTAAGACTGAAGGGAAAAATCTATTATAAAATTGTTATCATCAGTTATGAAAATTGAGAAATGAATGGATTTTTTTTATTAAATAGATTCTAAAATTTGTAACCTTTTTTAAATTATATTTTTTAAAATTCCTTTTTAATCAAAATCTTGTTAAGAAAAGAAAATAGTTTTTTATAGCGCCTAATGGTTTTCTAGTAATAAGGGGACAGCAGATAAAAAAATTGAATGCACCCTTTTTTTCCTTTATTTAATTCCTTTTTTAATAAACAATTTTAACCATATCTAGTGTTAAATGTTTATGTGTATTTTTTATCACTTATTTTGTTTCTATTTGATTCAGAGACCAAGCCCAAATTTTGCTGCAACAGTTTGTCAGTTATTGCTCCATGCACCACCAAGTTTGCTGTTTGGTACATTTGATGGAGCAGCATACAAAAGAGCTCTGAAATGGATGTTTCAGCTGTCTGCTAAGACATACTTAGAAGCTTCCGTCTTACAGCCAGAAGATATGAGTGTGAAGTTAGAATTAAGAAGCACACTTTGTTCTCGCATTCAGTACTTAGAAGTTATTGAAGCTTTACAATTTATTTTGAAGTCTTAATCAACCTCAACTAAAAGTTATTGTAGTGTGGTTGCTGAGGTTTTATTTTAGTTTTGTTATTAGAATTAGTTTGATTTATTTTAGTTTTATTTAAAACCATGATGGATTATTTGCTTCAGCTTTATTAGGATAAAGTTTGAAAAAAATATTTAGTTTTCAGATTGTAAAATATATTTATATTGAAATGAAAGGATATTTTTCAATATGTTGTATATTGCATTCAATGTATAGATTGCTATTGTTAATAAAAATAATCTAACTGTATTTAGCTTTCCAATTTTTCATTTTACTTTTTGTTCATAAAGAGCTTGGGACAATAGTATGATAATGATTATAAAGTATTAAGCTTATTTTGATTATGCAAATGTTCTAGAATATTCTCGAACACAACCAATTATATCTAGTACTAAGTTATATTAATAAGCCGTAGAAAGAAAGTGTTTGTTGAGAGAAGGAAAATGTGTGATAATATGTAACAAATCCACCATTTAAAATTATTTGGTTTTGATTTCTGATTTACTGATTATGTATTTACTAATTTGTCTGAACTTTTATTCTAAATCATTTGCATTTCAAATAGTTTCAACTGTTACGCATGCTTATTTATTTAATAAGACATTCCAGATTGAAAATCTAAAAAATAAATGTAACTAATTTTGATGAAATAGCGATGGAACAAACATTAAAAAAACTTCTTAATTGAAAGATTTATTAAAGTGTAATCTTACAGCTGAATGATTAAAAATGAGGGCATTACCAAAATTCAATTATGATTTAAAAATGTTTGTTGCAGCTTATTTTTTTAAACAAAACCTACTAAAAAACAAGTTAAAGATTAAAAATTTAGAAATATTTGTCAAAAGTATTATTTCAATTAAATTATTATTTTATTGTTTTTCGCAAAATTTTGAAGTGTTATCGTGAGCATCCATAATTTCGTCTTCTTACTGCTGGACGCTAAAGAAGACATGAAGAAAAACTTTATTTCGGGTATTTACTGCAACTTTCAGTTGGAATCCTTTTTATAATGCGTGTGACGCTGAAGTAATCGGATTGCGCAGAAAATTATTTTTTTCGTTGTATAGATGAAAACAAAAAAGCAGATTTATTCATTATTTAACAGATCTTCGGACCTATGAATCAACGAATCTTTGAAACAGCGAATGAACAAATCTGCAAGTTGGAGGACGCTGATTTGTTGTTTTCACTTATTCATTGATAATTGGGTTGATTCGCTCAATAGTAAACATGCTCATATAGTGGATTGTTTATTTGTTGATTCTCTTATGATCGGTTAACTAATTAATTTCCTCATTCACTGGTTCGCTTTTGAAACTTATTTGTATAATTCATTGCTTCCTGTGTATCTTTAAAAATGTGCTTTTACTGAAAGTTTATAGTCGAAATAAAATTTTACTTCGTGTCGTTCCTAACCTCCTTAACTAAGACACGAAACTATAGACCTGCAATTGCCAAATGATGATTCGTGGAAGAGTTAAAGGGGTTGCGAGAGTTAGGACATTTGTTTTAACCTGTAACCTTTGAAACTTTTAGATAGAGTTATATCCAATCAATAATTCTTTACTTTATTTCATATTTCGGTTACCCTTATGAAGTTAAAGTAAAATGCCATTGAAAAGAAAATGGATAATTTTTTTAATCAATATTTTTTTCTAATAACACTATACTGTATAAATCATGAAAATATCATACATTTATAAAACTTCCATTCTTATTTTCCCTTGCGCTTATCAAATGAAAATAAAATTACCAAATTTATTAATAAAGAAATGTAATTCTCTAATAATGATCTTCAACTTTTACAGCAGTTCGTTTCTATATCATAGAAGCTAAAACGAACTCTGCTTATTATAGATATATTTTATATAAATAGAAATATATTTATATATTTCTGCTTGTTTTATTCATTTTCAGTGAGAAGCATACATGACAACTGAAGTACATAATGTACGTAAAATAAGCATACATTACAAATTTTTAACTGGACAAAATACATCTCCATGACTTCGAATTTAACTGTCGGTTCTGAAAACTGACTTAATATAGTTAATGATAAAACGATGAACGAATGATAAAACGAAGTTCATTCTTTTTATCAAGTGTTTTAAAAATGAATTCTTTTATTGATAAATACGTTCGCCCAATTGTCTTTATTTACTTTATCTATGAAATTAGGGTACCGTCGAAAGTAGGTTAATCGATTAGGGATCCACTGTCGAAAAAAATTGGGAACCTCTGCTATTAAAAGTTTCAGCCAAACATTTATTTCTTTTTTAACCACTGGTTAAAAAAGATTTTGACTATATACGGTAACTTATAAAAAATTATTTTCTTTTAATTGTTTCACTAATAAGTTTTTCAGGTAAAGGGAAGAAATTCATTGCATTATTTTTATCAACGTCATCGATATTTTCTGATGTTGTTTTGATGACAAGTAATACGTGCAACAGTTTTCAGTCTCGTGGTAAATTTTATTTTCATAACTTCACAGTAATTATGAATTTATTTAACAGATAATTTACGAGGGCTAGTTAAAAATCAATCGAAAGGTAGAGTACTACTTTACGTCACTTATTATAGCAACATGACGTGAACAAAAAAGAAATAAAAATACAGCTGTTTCGATACTATCCTTAATGCAGAAACACAGATAATTAAAATTTCTAACGAAAATCGACCCACTCATCAAATTTTTATGCATTAGTTAATTTCCATTTCTTAGATAGTCTTTATTTGCTTTGGCCTTTACCAAATTTAAATCCATAAGTGTTAAACGAGTCAAACTCTGAAATAAAATGAGCTTATTTTTTTCAGTGGAATTATGAATTTATTTGATGTCGAATTATGCATTCTTTACATATAAATAACGCCTATTACATAACTGTTAAAAGCCTATTATATTGCCTGTCATATAAAAATCAGAACATATTTTTTAGAAATATTTTTCATAGTACCAATATGCAAAGTAATTTAAAATTAAACAGCTTGGGCTAAACGGAACTTATATTTGAGAATTTTGACCGAAAAAGGGTTAAAAAAAGCTATTATCAGCCAATATTTTGTCTAAATTCCTAAATTTAGATATCGATTCACTCAATATTTTATAACCACATTTCATAATCAGTCCATATTGAGCCTATATAGTTTTACCCGATTCAGACTTTTGTCCCTTCAAGCATTTCTTGTAAGACCTTTTGGGACCAGGACACAATTGTTGCTAGAAGAGCTTAACATAGAATGATTAACAGAAAAAAGAATTCTGTGGAAAAGTTAAGTAGATAATAGTGTTAAGCGTTTCCTTGGAGACATCTGAAAACGACAAACTCGACAACTACTTCAAATTTTTAGTCAATCAACAAAAAAAGAACAGCTTGTTAATTATTTATTTAGTTTCTGTTGCGCAAAGAAAATGCAGCGAAAACTGCTACATTTCCATTTAAATCTGGTAGATTCGAATCCCAGCTGTGACTGGTTGATACGAATTTAGCTACAGGCTTGCACCGACCGCAGTGCAAACGAAAAATGTTCTTGGTCGTAGATGGATCACGGGTTAGAATCCCCTTGGCGTCGGGCTAACATTGGGAGATTTTTGTGGTTTTCCTAAACCAGGCAACGCAATTGCGGGTCAGTTTATCAAAAAATCCTCCATAAATGCTACTAATGCTTGATCCAGGAGTCCCTTTGTCTTCTGGGTAGGGTTCAAAATTACATGGCCACGGAGTTGAGCATTGATTGTCGTAAACTATTCANGAAGAAAATAGGGAACCTCTGCTATTAAAAGTTTCAGCCATTTAACATTCTTTCTTTTTTTACCACTGGTTAAAAAAAGATTTTGACTATATTCGATAACATATAAAAAATTATTTTCTTTTAATTTTTTCACTAATAAGTTTTTTAGGTAAAGGGAAGAAATTCATAGCATTATTTTTATTTACGTCATCGATATTTTCTGAAGTTGTTTTGATGACAGGGAATACGTGCAACAGTTTTCAGTCTCGTGGTAAATTTTATTTTCATAACTTAACAGTAATTACGAATTTACTTAACACATAATTTACGAGGGCTAGTTAAAAATCAATCGAAAAGTAGAGTGCTATTTCCCGTCAGTATTTTTATAGCAACATAATGTGAACGAAAAAGAAATAAAAATAAAGCTGTTTCGATACTATCCTCAATGCAGAAACGCATATAGAACGAAGAGAAAAATTACAATTTCCAACGAAAATCGCAGGAAAATTGACCCACTGATCTAATTTTAATTTGTATTTTTTTATGTATTAGTTATTTTCCATTTCATAGATAGTCTTTATTTGCTTTGGCCTTGACCAAGTTAAAATCCATAAGTGTTAAACGAGTCAAACTCTGAAATAAAATGAACTTATTTTTTTCAGTGGAATTATGAATTTATTTGATGTCGAATTATGCTTTCTTTACATATAAATAACGCCTATTATATTGCCTGCCATATAAAAATCATAAAATATTTGTATTTTTTAGAAATTTTTTTCATGGTACCAATATGCAAAATAATTTAAATTTAAACAGCTTGGGCTTAACGGAACTTATATTTGAGAATTTTGGCCGAAAAATGATTAAAAAAAGCTATTATCAACCAATATTTTGTCTACATTCCTAAATTTAGATATCGATTCACCTAATAATTGATAATCATATTTCATAATCAGTCCAAATTAAGCCTATATAGTTTTACCCGATTCAACCTTTTAGCTCTTATTTAGCCTAAATATTTTTGTCTGACCACTCGCGACCTTTGTCCCTTCAAGCATTACTTGTAAGACCTTTTGGAACCAAGACAAAATTGTTGCTAGAAGAGCTTAACATAGAATGATTAACAGAAAAAATATTCTCTGGAAAAGTTAAGTAGATAAGCGTTTCCTTGGTGACATCTGAAAACGACAAACTCGACAACTACTTCAAATTTTTAGTCAATCAACAAAAATTTAACAACTTGTTAATTATTTTAGTTTCTGTTGCGCAAAGAAAATGCAGCGAAAACTGCTACATTTCCAATTAAATCAGGTAGGTTCGAATCCTAGCTGTGGCTGGTTGATAAGAATTTCGCTTCAGCTTCGCACCAACCGCAGTGCAAACGAAAAATGTTCTTAGCCGTAGATGGATCACGGGTTAGAATCCCCTTGGCGTCGGGCTAACATTGGGAGATTTTTGTGGTTTTCCTAAACCAGGCAACGCAATTGCGGGTCAGTTTATCAAAAAATCCTCCA